GTCCCCCTTCCAAAAATGCCATGCTAGGAACCCATCAAAGAATTAATTCATTGATTAGGTAAGAGCCCTTGGGTTCCAATCACCTCTCAATAGTGCCACCAACTAAGGATCCAACTTTCAATACAAGAGCTTTTTGTGGGAATACTTCATATCTAAACCACAATAATATACTAATATGTAACCTTGGTTTGACTTCATGTCATGTTTTTTTTTTTCTTGGATCTGCATGTGCCCCTATAGGACATATGGCCCTTTTTGCCTCAGACTAACACTCCATGCACTTTAGTGGTAGTATTCCAAGTCTTGTCTGTGCACAGAGACACTGGTTCTACAAACCACCAAGGACAGAAATTCTGACTCAAATACATGCTCCAAAAGGAGCTTGATTATTTAAGTACGGGACCTGGAGGAATTACTAATTCATCATTTATGTGAATAATCAAAGCAGTCTTCTCAATGGTGGGAATCACACAAATAGAAAATACTGTAGGCAAAAGTGACTCTGGTAAAAGTTGTTAAGGAGATCACTTCAGCCCTAGAGAGAACACGGGTCAGTCTCAGTTCATTTGCATGAACAGTAATGGATGACTGAATTTTTCTTGATTTCTTGTCATGGGGGTGTCTGTGCTATTGCTAATATTTCTTCTTGTATTTTGATCAGTGAAACAGGCAAGTTAGAACAGGCTTTGCAACATCGTAAGGAAAGAGCAAATTGATTATGTAAGATAGATGGCCTATTAATTGTTTTCTTGGCCTGGATTGGACAGTTGGGGGATCCTGGTTCTGAAAGGTCCTACAGGTACTATTAAACATTATTGTTAGTGTCTTAGTTGTTATGATGTTAGTTCACTGTATTCTTTCTAAAGTGTTAAAATGTTTCTGTGCAGCTACTCTCTTTCACTAGCTGATTGTGATGATGACACAACAGAAGGGTCAGAAAGGTCTTGTAATATAGTTGACTATGGAAATAATTATAGAACTCCAAAGTGATGGAGATATGCATCTCTAGACTTCCCTGCCGGGTTGTGACCAGCACACCTGAAATGGCGGATGAAAGATTACTTGAATATAGGAAACAGTGTAAGAGAAACCAAGGGGAAGACTAGCTTGGGATTAGCTAGCTCCCCAAATCCGTTTGCCTTGCAGCTTTTATTGAGTACACCAAATGGCCAAAAAATATTTTTGCAAGCAATCAGTTGTATTGCTGGCATCAGCAGGAAAGGCAGGTAGCCTAGCAGATTAAGATCGGAGAGATGGGGACAGGAATTACAATTACTCTTAAGCAAAGGTTTAGAGGTCAGGGAACAGGCAAGTTCCAAGTACCAAGATCAAACATTGAATGGATGCCTTCATTTGTCCTGGAGGAGGTACCTTCACCTTTGTCCTCCTTTTTACTATCTCTTTAATCATGCCTGAACCCCAGGACTTCCCTGAATTGGTCGTAATCTTGCAAGTGGAAGAATGACCAAAAGAAGGGACTGAGAGACTAAAAATTGAAAAACGACAACAGCCAGACCACATATGACAATAAAACTTGACCAACAACTTCTGCAGTAGTTGCCCAGAATTGTCAGGACTTGGTCATGACTGCTACTTCCCTATTTTTTTTGTCTCTCTATATTTGTTTACCTATCTTTACATTTTATAAATTATAAAATAAAAAAAGTATTATTATTACAGTGGTACTCATGATGGGGTTTTCTCAATATAAAAATAAATCAATATAATAAAAACATAACACACAGTTGTGGAAGTATTAAAGATCTCTCAAATGAGAATAGAGGTAGACAATTTATTCAGAGCTTGATATAGCAAGTGATCTAGTCATCATCACTTGCATTTGTCAATGACTCAAAGGTCATGGTAGAATTCTTGAGGCCCACCACACACACACACACACACACACACACACACACACACACACACATCCCTAATAGGGCAACAGGAAGAGTTTATAATGAAAAAAGGGAACTCTTCAGGAGTTCTTTGGTTAGATGTTGGCAAGGGGAAGCTGGAGGTGGATTAACCAGTAGCAGGATATCTTATGGTTTGGGAGTACATGTGGACCATATCTGGAGCAACCAGAGAAAGTCAAATAAACAGCTTTCTTGAGGTATGGTAGGCACATAAAAACTTCACACATTTAAAGCATACAATTTAATGTTTTTACACACACACACATTCTCACCCTTGTTATATACACATAACTGACAGTGTCACCACAATTAAGATAATATTGCACATTCTCGTTTCCTTCTTCCTTTAACTCTCTCTTACCCCTTCCTTCCCCCCATTCTATTCCCAAGCAACCACTCATCTGTTGTCACTGTATTAGTTTTCATTTTGTAGAGTTTTATGTAAGAATTGCAGAGTTTGTATTCTTCCATTGTTTGGCATCTTTAACTCAGCATAATTATTTTGAGATACATTCATGCTGTATTAATAGCTCAATAATTTTTGTTACTGAATAATGTTCTCTTGTATGAATACAACAATGTATTTTTCCATTCATCCGTTGATAAATATTTGGTTTGAGATAATAGTGTTTGGCTATTCCAAATAAAGCTGCGACAGGAATGCATGCATAAATCCACGTAAGAACATATATTTTCATTTCTCTTCAGTAAAGATCCAGGAATTGAATGACTGGATCATATGTTAGTGTGTTTTAACTTTGTAAGAAATTGCTAAACTATATTCCAAAGTTGTGAACCATTTTACATTACTGACAGCTATGTATTCAAGGTGTGCTTTTTCTACATCTTCAATGACACTTGGTCTGGTCACTCTTAATTTTTAGCCATGTTAATTAGGAGTGTTGTGGTAACTCACTGTGGTGTTAACTTGTATTTCTCTGATAACTAATGACATTGAGCACCACTGAACATATCCTATTTTCTTATTGTTGAATTTTGAGAGTTTTTAAAATGTTTTATTTAAAGTATATACTTGGCAAAGATTTTTCACCCAGTCTGTGGCTTTTTTGCTTTCTTAACAGGTGAACTGGAGAGAAGCTTTAAATTTTGATTGAATCTAATTTATCAATTTAGTATTTTATGGGTTACTGCTGATATCATGTCTAAGAAATTTTTGCTTAGTTCACAGATTTTCTTCAATGTTTTTTCTTAAGGGTTTTATTTTAGGTATTACATTTAGGTCTACAAATTGCTTTTAATGAATTTCTTGAATGTTGTGGGAGGTATAGATCAATTATTTTTCATATGTATATCCAATTATTAAAAAAAAGCTCTCCTTTCTCTGCTGCATTGCCTTTGCATCTTTTCCTTATTTCCTTTTCTTTCTTTTCTGCCTACTTTTAGATTAATCAGGTATTTGTTTTATTATTCTTTATCTTTTTTGGTAGCGATAACTTTTTAATTGTTTTAGGGTATACAGTATACATCTTCAGCTTATTACAGCATAGCTTCAAATGGTATTGCAATACCATTTGAACTTCTATTTGTGTTATCTGGCCTTTATGCTATTGTTACAAGGCATTGTACTTTTACATATATTATAAACATCACAATAAATTCTATATTTTTAATAACCAATTATATTCTAAAGAGATTTAAATAATAAGAAATATAATCTTGTATCTGTACCCCAGTAGTTATCATTTTTAGTGCTCTTCATTCCTTCATGTAGACACAGATTTCCATCTGGTATAATTTTCTTTCAGCTTGAAGTACCTCCTTTAACATTTTTCATAGTGAGGGACTCTACTGGTGATGATCCTATTAGTTTCTATCTGTGGGAACATCTTTATTAAAATTTTTTTTTATTGTGCTGGGTGGAGGGTACATTCTAGCATTTACAAAAGTTCTTACAATGTATCAAATATATCAACTTGAATTTACCCCTCAACCATTCTCCTTTATCCCCCCCATTCCTGGAATAGTTTCAACAGGTATAATTTTTCCATTTTATCTTTGTTTTTAAAGATATTTTTGCATGGATAGCTTTCTAGGTTGAAATGCTTTTTTCCTTTTGATATGTTTAAGCTGTTGTTCTACTTTCTTGCATTGTTTCTAATGAGAAATTAATATCCTTATTTTTGTTCTGTGTATGTTTTTTTCCCCTCTGGTTTAAGATTTTTTTTTTCACTCCTGGTTCTGAGCAATTTGATTACGATGTACCTTGTAGTTTTTTAGTTTTTTTTTTCTAATGCTCATGTTTCATTGAGCTTCTAAAGATGAAGGTAAAGATGAAGCCTGTGGGTAAAGATGCTGGTAGGAGGACTGAAGTAGAAGTTTATGGAAGCTCTTGTTATGATGAATGTTACCAATGAAGTAGAAGCATGGCATTGGCTGGAGTGAGGATAGAGGAAGAGATATTGAATACAGAGAAAGTATAAAACTATCATCTAGTTAAAACGAACTCCCTCCAAACACTGTCCCTTCCATCAATCCTACCAAAATATATAACAGAGTACAGATCTCAATCATTAATTTCCTTCCTGGTGGCCTATTAATCTTTGCATTTCAACTTTCCTGAGGAATATTCAAACATTCCTGTAAGTTTAGTATCTAGTTAGCATTCCTTCTTACTGCTTTTCCCCGTTTTAATCTTACATTTGTGTCTTTAGTAGCTTTCTGCTACTACCTATAAGCTTTTTGAGGACAAGCACCTTGCCTGTTTTTAGTTCCCACTGAACCTAGCTTAGTCTTTAGCACACAGGTAGCTGGCAATCAACATACAGAGATAAGTAGGTAAAAGTAAAAATTAAGTGCGATACTGTGAAGCCTGGTGTGAACAACAGGTTTCTTTTGGAGAATTCTCGAGGCCCTGGCTATCCTCAATGCTGTGGCCTGAAATCCGCACAGAGCGCACCAGGTGAAGGCAAGCGACACAGTGACTCTGGTCCCTGAGCCAGCGCCCGTGCCAGGCTTTGAGAAGCTTCGGCGCCACGGGCTTGCCGGATTTACGTCAACGCGCGGGGCGGGGCTCTGGTAACCCAGGCAACAGCCCGGAAGCCGCGGGTGGCGGTACCCCGCGGCGCGCTCCGCACTTCTGGAGTCTGAAGTTTAGTCGCCGCGGAGGCAGCAGTGGGAAAACGGCGAGGCAGGTTGAATGATGGAAGCGTGCAGTCCGCGGGCCCACCGAACCTTAGGGACCGGGCCATATACAGGGCGGGAGGACGGGGGCGGAGCTCTGTCCCTTGGGGAGCCTTACCACTGAAGCCCCGACAGCGGCCTTATCTTGAGGGTGTGTGCGTTTCAGAGTGTTTCTGTCTAAGCGCTTCCGCTATGAACCAGTGGACGTGCTGCGCATGCGCACAGGTTTCTGCGGTGGGGTGGGGGCTTCTGCACTAAGCTAAATATTGGGGGTGCTGGCTTGTGGCGTTCAGAGGGTTTATGTCCAGAAGGAGAGAGACAGACTACTCAGGGTACTTTGGGGCAGCGAGGGTCATTTAAATCGATGGATGTTAGGAAAGGGCTTTTATGAAGGGGCCGCCTGAGTGAGTTTTGAAGAGGTATGGGTGAAGAGAAGTTAGGGAGTGAAAATCTGAAGGGTGTTTCAATCAGAGGGAAAAGAATGGTTGGAACGGTATGTGAAGGTGAGAGGTTGATCCTAGGATTTGTGGGAGATGTGAGAAAAAAACTGGAAAGAAAGGTCAGTCTGCCCACATGGGAAGGAAACTTTGAAACTGGAATCTTCTCAACAGTGGGGTGCCATTAAAATCTTGGGAAGGAAGGAAGTTAATGATTGAGATCTATACTCTATTATATATTTTGGTAGGATTGATGGAAGGGACAGTGTTTGGAGGGAGTTCGTTTTCCTTTGGTCAGTTTCCAACACTAGTCAGAGTAGATTTAATGCCAAAATCCCATCCTAACCTTCCTTGTTTAAGTCCTTAAGTGGCTTTCTGTGGTCTGTTGCATAGCGTTCAAATTGCTTTCCCCCCTACCCCCCATGATCTGCTGTCTTCCTTACTTTGTAGCCTCCTCTTAGCCTGTCACCCTCTCGAGTTTGTCTTCATTAAACTGAACCTCTGAAACTCTGTAAATGTGTTTTCCCTTTTCTGGGGCATTCTCCCCCCCGCCCCATCCACTTTTTTTTTTTTTCCATACTTTAGTTTTCAGCCTCAGTAGTTTTGAATTAGGGAGAGGGGGCAGTCTTTTCTCATTGTGTAGAACAAGTTAGGTACTTCCAAGGCACATGGGATTTATTTCCCACCTTGACTTTTTATTGTAATTAGTTGTTTAATTGTGGTCCTCCGAGAAATTTAAATTCTATGTAAGGGTATAGACTCTTCTGTTTTCTTGCTCTATTTGATGTCTGGCTCTTAGCAAGTACTTTCAGAATATTTGTTGAATGAGTAGGTAATGAAATGAGTGACATTAAGTGAGAGAGAAACCAATTAGAAATAATGAAAGCCTGGAGAAATATATTTCTAATAGAAATGGAGAGGAGTGGACAAATGAGAGATACAGTTTATGGAAAGAATTAATAGATAATGGCATTTGACTCACTAAGTGACAAAAAGGAACAGGAGATGATGCTCAGGTTTTAAACTGTAGGAATGAGAATGATGGCAATTCTGTAAATTCAGCTTAATTCAGCAGATGTTTACTGAGTCAGCCAATTATGTATCAAAAACTAGAGGTTTGGAGATAATGTGGATAATGAGCTGTGTTTTGATATACTGTATACAGTATGCAGTTAGAAATGAATATTTGGTGTTTTGAAGAAAGGTGTGAGTCATTGATTTCGGATTCAGTTTCACGGTATGTTTGTGTTCCTGATGTATTCGTAATCTTCCTCAAGTGATTAGGTTCAATCACTGGGGAAGAGTGTGAACTCCCCCTGGTGATATAGAAAGTAAGCTCTATGAGAGCTGGTACCATACTAGTCTTACTTGCAGTTTTACTTCCAATGCCTAACTAGTGCCAGTTATGTAGTAGGCTCCCCCCAAAATAATTATTGGATTGAGGGAGAGAGTATTTTTTGGAAAAATGAAAGGACTGTGATAAAACTGCATGAGAGTCTTTGATTAGGTTTTATGTGAAGAGAGGAGGCTTACATATTCTGTGAAGAAAAGGAGAAAAAGGAGAATGAATGTCATGGAAGCCAAGGGAGTAAAGGGCTTCTAGGAGTGAGAGTCTATAGAGCAAGAAAGGGCCTGAGAAGGTCTGGGGATGTAACTTAGTGCAGTGGCAGAGCACTTGCCTCGAATGTGTAAGGCCCAGGGTTCCAAACCACCCCCCCCCAAAAAAAAAAAGGGAAGTTATTAGTACCCTAGATTTTTCTCCAAAGAGGGGTCAATGCTCTGGGCCGTGCTTATTTTGTTTGATTTTTTTAGCACTCTGAACTATCAGAGTATCTCTAGTCCCACATTTTAGAAGTAAACTACAGCATACTTAATGATCTTTGGTTTCATAGGTGGCACAAAATTTCTTTGTTAAACCACAAAATCTAATCCCTGCTTAAGAAAAATATGGTCTCTATTGCTGTTGTTCAAGAGAACATTTTTCAGTGCAAAGGTGGGGACAGGGTTCCCTTGTTATATAAAAGGCTGAGGAGTGACTAAGGGTTAATAAATACAGGTGCTAAAATTCATGAAGTTTGTGATTAAAGGAAGGCCAGAGAGGGGATAACAGCTCAGTTACACCTTTGAGATCTTGTCAGGCATAGGCTGCAATTTAGAGTTGGCCTGTTTCCATGTAACAAATAACCACAAATTTACTGGCTTAACACAATTACACATTTATTGTCTTAGTCCGTTTTCTGTTGCTATAACAAATAATGCCTGAAACTGAGTAAAGAAGTTTATTCAGCTCATAGTTCTGGAGACTGAGAGATCCAAGATTAGACAGCTACATCTGTGAGGGCCACCTGCTGCTTAATAACAGGATGGAAGTTGGAAGAGGAAGTGGCCACCTGTGCAAGAGGCAAAGCATGAGGTGTACTCTCTCTTTATAACGACTCTGGTAATAAGTAATCCAGTCACAGGGGCATTAACCCAGAGCCCTGAGAATGGCATCAATCCCTCTTAATGATTTAATCACCTCCTAAAGCCCAATCTCCCTACACCTACCCCAGTGGTAATCAAATTTCAACATGAGTTGTGGAGGGGCAAACTGTATTCAAACCTTATTTATCTCACAATTTCTGTGGGTTATGAATTTAGACAAGGCCTATTTGAGTCTCACTACACTGTAATCAAGGTATCATTCAGTCTGTACTTCTCTGGATGCTCAATTTGGTAAAAATCCACTTCTAGTCTCACTCAGGTTGTTGGCAGAATTATTTCCTTGTGTTGACTTTATGACTGCCCCCTTCCCTGCCCCTTGCCCCTCAGTTTCTTATTGAAGGCTGCCCATAGGTCCTAGAGATTGCCTGCAAGTTGGGTTGCCTACCACAAGCCTGTTCCACAATAGTCACAACCTGGCCATCTGCCTCTTCAAGACAGTAGGAGAGCATCTTTTGCTGCAGTCTTCTAAGACAGTCTCATATAACATAAGAATGATATCTGTCCTCACATTTGCCTTATTTTATTGGTTGAAACAAGTCAGGTCCTGCTCAAACTTAAGTGGGAAGGTGTTATTACAGAGCATGACTCGTTGGGGGTCATCTCAGGATGACTATGACTAGCTATATGAGGGTAGTTGTCTGTTGCCAGGCAACAGGGCACATCTTTGCTTCACTATTTGTGTTTGTCACATGAATATGGTTTCATTGAGTATAATATTTCCTATGTTAAAATTGATAACTGGTCCCATTTACATTAATACTTAAGCATTTGATCGTGTGTTTATATTTTCTTTGCTTAAAAAACACTTTCTGTTTAGGTATTTTGTATTTACTTTTAGAAGTTATTAGCAGTGTACAAATTATTACTATGTTGAGGACCTCATGTGTGAAAGAAAAAAGTAGGTGGGCTTTTTTTAACAGCTGTTTTGATTTCTCCTATGTCAGATGCAGCCTTTGCATCTGTCAGCTTCATGACTGGTTTTTCAGAATTGAGTTGGTAGAATTTTGGCTTCTGAGTAAATGTAATATTTTAAATATTGTAACTTGAAGTAACATTTCCCCCTATATTTAAGAGTTCATAGGCTCATTTTAGAAAGTTGGGAAAATATAGAATGAAGCAGAGTTAACTCAATTTTAACAAAGTTTTCTAGTGTGTCATTCATATTTGGGTTTTGAGTTCAGCTTCCTTCTCTCTTCGTGTTTGTGTCACTTTGAGCAATGTAATATACCTTCTTTAAACCTTATTTTTTCTCATTTGGGAAAGGAATTAATGATTATTGTCACCGACATCATCAGCAACACTTAAATAAGACTTAGTATGTTTTAGGCAGGGGTTTCAAACACCTTACATGTTTAATTAGTTACATTGTAGAGTCAGTGGCTGAGATGTGAACCCAGTCTGATTCTAGTCTATAACCACTGTGCCATAGTGTATCTCAAGACAGTACATACCTCCTAGAGGTGTGGGGTTAAATGTGAGGCTCTTGACACACACAAGTACTTTATTAATAAGGCACAGATTAATATCATTGAAGATATACCATGTGTGCAGTTCTATATTCTACTTTTTGCATTTGACTTCTTATGGTTTTTCCTGTCATTAAACATTTTTCTTTATATAATTTGAAAGGATGCATAATTTGTAACATGCATCTACTGACACTGCATGATTCTATGTTTCTGTCGAGTAAATGGGAGATAAAGGTCTTCATGGTTAAAATCTACTAGTTTCCTTTTCATATCTCTTAAAATAACAGCTTTATTGAGATATTCACATACTATAAAATTCATTCTGTTAAAGAATATAATTCAGTGAGTCATATTTGCAGTTGTACAACTATAATCACTATTTAATTCCAGAACACTTTCATCACCCCCAAAAGAAGTCCCATAACCATTGGCACTCTGTTCCCTTCTCCCTGGCAACCAGTAGTCTCCTTGATGTCTGTGTGCATTTGGGATTGTGCAATATGAGGCTTTTGTGTTTAGCTTTTCTCATAGTATTTTTAAGGTTCATCTGTTTTATAGCATATATCAAAAAAAAAAAACCACCCTGAAACAACAACAAAACCCAAACCTTAGTTGTTGGTAACAAATGGTGCTGAGAAAACTGGATATCTATACAAGTAGAAGACTGAAACTAGATCCCTGTCTCTCACCCTGTACAAAAATCAATTCAAAATGGGTCAAAGACCTTAATGCAAGAACTGAAACTTTGAAGCTATTAGAGGAAATCAGGGAAAATACTTCAAGATATTTGGTCTTTGAAGGCAGTGATTTTCTGGATAGGACTCAAGAAGATCGGGAAATAAGAGCAAGAATTGACGGATGGGATTTTCTTAAAAGCTGCACATCAAAGGAAATGACAGTAAAAGATAACCTACAGAATGGGGAGAAAATCTTTCTCAGCTATTCGTCTGACATTAGTATTCAGAATATATAAAGAAGTAAAAAAATTAAATAGCAAAAGAATAGCTAATCAAATCTATAAGTGGGCAAATGGATTGAATAGACAGTTCTCAAATGAAAAAATACAAATGACTAATGAATACAAGAAAAAATGTTCAGTGTCTTTAGCTATCAAGGAAATGCAAATTGAAACTACATAGAGATTCCATCTCACCCCAGTTAGAATGACTTATCAAGAAAACAACAAAAAATGCTGGCAAGGATGCATACACACTGTTGGTGGGATTGTAAATTAGTGTAGTCACTATGGAAAGCAGTATGGAGATTCCTTAAAAACTAAGGATAGAACTACCATATGATCCTACTATACCACTCCTGAATATATAACAAAAGAAATCAAAGTCAGCATACAAATGTGATACCTGCATACTCATGTTTATCACAGCACTGTTTGCAATAGTCAAGTTATGAAATCAGCCTAGTGCCTATCAATAGATGAATAGATAAGGAAATGTGGTATATATACATAATGGAGTATCATTCAGTCATAAAGGACAATGAAATGCTATTTGCAGGAAAATGGATGGAAGTGGAAAAATAGGTGAAATAAACTCAGAAAGACAAATAACCATGTTTTCTCTCAGGTAGAATGTAGATTTAAAAAAAAAGACATGAAACTAGAAGGGGGGCTATTTGGGAAGAGAAAGGGGACCAGCAGGAGGAGGGAGGTGGGATGAGAGATGACTATTTTCATATGCATATGAAAATACAATGAAATCCATTATTTTGCACAATAATATATGCTAATAAAAAGTTGAAAAATAGGGTCTAGTCATAGTAAAACAAAAACAAAAGCAACTTAGTTGTTGGGGTATAGCTAGCTGAATGGTAGAGCACTTGCCTAGCATGTGTAAAGCCATGGGTTTGGTCCTTAGCACCACAAAAACCAAGTAAAAAAACACTTAATTGTCATTCTCTATGTGATTTATATCCTTTGATGGATTATAAACCCTGAGATTAGATGCCATGTTTAAAGAATGAGTGTGATTGATCAGAGAGAGACATTCTAGAAGAGCAATGAGTGTGGAGAGCATATTCTTGAGAAACACTTGGATTTTAGTATCGTTATTACAATAGATTCAGTTTTTTAGTAAAGTATTTAAGGAAATGGGATGGGGATGTAGTTCAATGGTAGAATGATTGCTTAGCTTGCTCAAGACCCTGGATTCTATCCATAGCACTGTTCAATCAGTAAATAGTAAGCCAGTTGTGGCTCACACCTGTAATTCCAGGTACTTGGGAAGCAGAGATTGGGAAGATTGTGGTGGTTCGAGGCAAATCAGGGCAAAAAGCTAGCAAGACTCCCATCTCTCAGTTACCCTGGAGGCATATGTTGGAGTATCACAGTCTGAAACTGTCAAAAGTGAGATCCTGTATGAAAAAGAACCTGAAGCAAAAGTGAGGTGTGGTTTAAGTGACATTAACTGCCTAGCAAGCAAGAGGACCTAAGTTCAAACCCTACTGCTGCCAAAAAACAACAAACAAACAAAATCCCAAAACAAAACAAAAAAGGATTAGAGGAAAGTACTGGAGTTTTAGCTTTAGTCTAATTGGGAAAAAGGGATTAGGTAGGAAGTTCTGTAATTATTTTTGTAGGTAGAGAGGTTCTGGAATAGAAATCATGTATGTGTCATTTTTAAAAGTAATGTGTCAGGAACTATGGGTCTTTCTCTAATTTTTAAAATAATGTTTAACCCAGTGTCCATAGCATAACTATTTTAAGAGTGCCAAGCTAATGTTGCTAATTTATAAATTCTAGTTTAAAATCTAGAATCAACTCCATTTAGGTTATGTAAAATATATACTGGTACCCTGCCTATATGTCCTTTAAAATTTATATACTTTTCACATAAGTGTGTATCTACTGTGTAGTGTTTTTGAGTGTTAAAAATGCTTAACATAGAACTCCAATTTTCTTTTGTCCTCCCTTTCCTTCCCTTTGTATTTATATTGTTACTATGGTACGGGTATTTTTTCTACTAATTGTGAATTTTATGACTGGTGGCAAAGACTGACTACTGTCCTAGTTCTGTGCTTTAGGTCATGACTTCTGCATTCCCAGAGTTCTTTATTAAGCAAATAAATAAGTTATTGACTTAAAACCTCTTTTATTGTAGCTATTAGTATCAACCTTGTATTAGTTGTAAAATGAGAAAACCAGTTATTTTGATAGGCTGTTCCTTTCACTATGCTTAAATTCTTCTGACGTTTTAGGAGTGATTTTGTTTGTCCTAGATGTCTTCCTCACCCCCTCTGTTGATGCATAATCATTTCCTTTCCTTGTATTTTAAAGTTTTGATATTATTCCTAGATGTCATTGGTGAGAGTGAACCGTTATGGTTCCCGGGGAAGTGGAAGAAAAACACTGAAGGTAAAGAAGAAGAAAACTCCAGTGAAGCAAGAATGGGATGTAAGTCTAGGTGGGAGAGTAGTCACCATAGTGTTATGGTGGAGGACATGGTTTTAGTTACTTATGATGGTGTTCTCAAGGGGCTCACCATGTAGTAGGATTGGATGGGTTTCTGGGTGTGTTATATCATTAGTCTTGGAGGGAAGAGCAGAATCCTTTGGGGAGTTTTTTAGGTTGCACGTGTAATGGGCTGTAACTTCTAGCTCCTTTGAAGAATTGAAATCTTAAAAGCTGTGTTCTTAAACAAGAGTCTCTCATTTCCACTTTGAAAACTCATTGCTTTGGTAACTAGTTACTCTATGTCACTGAAGTCTGAATTTTTCTTGGTACCTGTTTTAGATTTGCCCTTAGCAACCAGTGATACTGTAATTATGTGGGTGGCAGTTTTTACTGAAAAAGTGGGTGGTGATCCTTGTTTTCTTACAGTTTGAATTTGTTGCTTACCCCAGAGACTAGTCAGTTTCAGTATAAGATTCTGTTAAGTACATGGAACATGAAGGCTAAGGGCATGGCTCAAATGACAGAACACCATTCCAGCACCTGGAATATGTGATGCCTGGTTCTTCCCCTGAATATCACCTGGTTTCAACTAGAGGATTGTATCTTTTGCAGCCTGAAAGTTTGGTTTGGACATTAGTCTTTTTTTTTTTACTTCAAGGTTTTTTTTTTTTTTTTTTTTTTTTTTTTATTTCAAGGGAGGACATTAGTCTTTAGGTGCCTTTCCATTGTGGAGAGTAACTAGCCAGGGATGAGTTTGGATCTCAGGGATTCTCTTGGACTTGGGTAGCAGGTGACCATCTTAAGCCAGATATCTTAGGCAAATTGACAGCCTTTGCAAGTGAAGCAGGAGACTTTTCTGTTTAGATTGTTTTGTTGCCATCTGATTGGCTGTAATGCTTATGAAAACATAAATATTGTCACCTCAGAGTTGTTATTTTGGAAAATTCAGTTTTTGTATAGAAAATCCTTGACCCAAATGTAAGTCATAGCCAAAAGTTAAGTCTTTGAATATATAAGAGACTATTTTGACTCAGTTTTCCTTGTATTGCTCATCACTTAGAAGTAAAACTCTAATTTATTTCCTGCTTGCTAAATCTGGGTAACAAAATGGCTATAATCATTTTTGAAAGCCCCAACTTTTAGGGTTGCTACCTAGAGCTGTGCAGGCTGTGCCCCACACGATTCCAAGGGTTGCTGTTTACATGGACTAAGATATTCATGGTACCTCCTGGAGTTGACTCGCATGGTAGCCTGACCATGTTGGTTTAGTGCCTTTTTACATAAGTAACTATTTTCACATTTTATGAAATTATGCAGTGCCTATACAGTTCATCTCTTACTTTAATAGGTTCTATGCTTAAGTTGTTTATGAACACAAATTGAACATTTCTATAGTGATCACACTTCCTCTTAGGAATCTTTACAATGACCTCATGGAATTCTGGATTTCAGTGGAATACAGTTTGAAAATTCTGACTAGTTAAGCTTTCTCATCTTGGATATATTCTGCCCTCTTTTATTTTTTATTCCTTGTTTTAATATAATTAAATACTTATTTTCTGTAAGACACCTAAAATATTCAGCCATTAAAATCCAGAAACTGTTATTATTTTATAAGGAAACGTAAAACCTCAAGGCTCATTTTTTTTTTTCATTTTGCAGAATACTGTGAATGATCTAACAGTTCATCGGGCAACTCCTGAAGAGCTGGTAAGTTGAACATTAAAAGTTAAGCTGTTTCATTGTTTTATTTTGTATTTGAATAGAAACCAAAGTTGCTTTCTGGAAGTTGTTGAGTTATATTTAGTTTTGTTTTTGACTATATAAAATCAAAAAGTGTATCTTCTGGACTTTCTGATTTTACCTAGGTATGTCAGTTAGTATGAGAAGTTTTTAGCTGGTTCAGTTCACAGTTCAGATGTTTCTGGTTTAGAATTACCCTGTTGATATCAGTATTTCTTCTCTATCTATAGATTTCTTCAGCATTATTTGCTGTTACTTCCTTGTGCAAAAATATTGGTCTAGTCAGTGTAGTCATTTCTCTTGAATATGCCATATGTATTTCTACATTTGAACTGCAGTTCCTGCTGCTTCCCTCACTTAGAAAAGTTTCTAGACCTTCTTTCCTTCCTATCCAAATCTTACTTTGCCCCTTTTTCTAGTTCAATTCCTACTTTTTAAAAAGCTTTTACTCTAGGTTTATATTTCATTTAATGAATTAATTTATTACTTTTAATTGACATAATTGTGATACTTTTGGATACTAATACATGCATTGATTGTGTCATGTCCAAATTATGATACTTATCTCCTCAAACATCTTTTTGGAGAAAACATTCAAAATCTTTTCTTTTAGATTTATGTGTAGTCACTTTACTGTGCAATGTACTATAGGTTTTGAAAAATAGCTTTATTGAGATTTAATTCATATACCATAAAATTTGCTCTGTTAAATAAAGTGTATTGTCTAATGTTTTTTTTTTTGTATATTCACAGAGTTGTGCAACCATTACTACTATCTAATTTTAGAATGTTTTCATCACCCCCAAAAGAAGCACTATGACCATTAATAGTCACTTCCTGTGCCCACCTCCTCCGTGCCTTTGGCAATGACTAATCTACTTCCTATATATATGGCTTTTCCTATCCTGGATTTTTCTTATCAGCGGAAAGACCTCTTGTATCTAGTTTCTTTATCTTAGCATGTTTTCAAGATTCATTCATGTTGTAGCATGTATCTGTATTTCAGGCTTCCGATTTTTCCACATCATTGTTATCATTACTTTTAGTTCTCCTAGTGGGTATAAAATGTTGTCTCATTATGGTTTTGATTTGCATTTTCCTCATGAAAAATGGTGTTGAAAAGATGATGAATCTCATTCCATGTGCTTATTGCTTTTTGTACTAGTATCTTCTTTGGAGAATTGTCAATTCAAATCCTTTTGTCATTTTTAAAACTGAATTGTTTGTGTTTTTATTGTTGAATTATAAAAAATTCTTTATACGTTCTGGGTATAAGTTCCTTATCAGATATATGATTTGCAGATGTTTTCTCCCATTTTCTTAGTTGTCTTTTCACTTTCTTGATGATACCCTTTAAGCATGAAAGTTAATTTTCATGATACCTAAGTTATGTTTTTTCTTTTATCATTTGTGTTTTTAGTGTTATATCTAAGAAAACACTACCTAACACATGGTTCACAAAGATTAATTACTCCTATATTTCTTTCCAAAAGTTTTATAGTTTTAGTTCTTATATTTAAGTTCTATGATTAATTTTAATTTTTGTATGTAGTGTGAGGTTGGGGTCCAGCTTCATACTTTTACAAGTGGATATCTAGTTCAAGCATCATTTGCTGAAAAACTCCATTCTTTCCCCATATTGTGGCAGTCTTGTTGAGAAATCAGCTATTCATAAATATAACGGTATGTTCTGCACTCGCAATTCTGTTCCACTCATCTATATGTCTACCCTTATGCAGTGCCACACTGGATTTTTAAAGCTTTGTTGTGAGTTTGAAGTACTGCTGTTTGAAACTGCTCGAAAGTTATCTCCTCTGACTTGTGGTTGCAATTACTACTTAAATAAGGTATTGAGTATATACTACTTAATGCATATCATTTATCTTTATATGGATATGCACAATTTCCCTGGTAGATTATTAATGCTTTTGAGAGATAGAGACCATATTTTATATATCTTTGTGTACCTATAAGTTTTAATCCTACTAAGTGCTCCGTAAGTATTTATTGAGGATTATAGTGATACCCAGTTGACTTAACATTTTTTAATAAATATTTTCAAACTCAGGTGAAAGTAGAAACAGAAATATAAAGAAGTCTCATGTGCTGTTTACCCAGAAGTAATAGTTATTAAAAGTTTGCTAAAGTTGCTTCGCTTACCAGTTTTCTTCCTTTGCTGAAACATCTTAAAGCAAATCCTTTTGAGAGCACATCCTTTTGTACTTACATACTTAATTTGCATTAAAAAAATATATAAACATGGGCTGTAGGTGTGGCTCAAGTGATAGAACACCTGCCTAGCAAGCACAAAGTCCTGTACCCCAGTACCACCAAAAAGCCAACCAACCAAGTAACCATCCTAACAAACACAGAATCCCCAAAACATAACCACAATGTGATTATCATATCAAACAAAAATAAAAATACTTTTCCATATTCAAAATTTTCCTAAAAATATCATCTTCATTTGTTTTTTGTGAATCAGAATCCTTATATAATATTTGGTTGTTTGTATTTTAATGGATTGATTTCTTATTTACATGATGAAAATTCATCAGTATATTTTATTAGATGACATTTTAAATTTGCTTGTATTCATATTCCTGAATGCTTGCATATTTGGAAAGCTAAATGTCTGCTTTTATTCCTCAGTTACTTCCCTGAGCTCCTCCTTTCTAACTCTTTAAGACTTGTGGCTATATCTCTTCTGTCTTAGGAACTCCGCTTTCCTGGGTTTCTACATCTTCATGACCCCACTTCCACATGAAGCCATTGCAGGGCTTTAAAAACAAGGCATTATTTATTCTTGGTGGTGATGCAGTTATCATGAAAAAGGTGTGTCTTTGGCCATAGATGACTTAGTGGGTTTTGTGCTTTTTACATCATGTTCCATCACTGTATGTATGTATGTATGTATGTGTGTGTGTGTGTGTGTGTGTGTATTAAAGATGTCAGTTTTGACCCGTTAATTGTTTTTGTCACCCATTTTAGTAGTCTTAATCTGTGACTTGGAAAAATTAATTTGATAGTCTTGTACAAAGGAAGTAGAAATTAATATTATTTTCAGTATGTCTTTTAGCTAGATCTCTTAGTTTGCTCATGCTCTCTCTCTGTCTCCCCCCTCCTCTCTCTTGGACAGTTCTGGAGTTTGAACTCAGGGCTTCATACTTGCTGGATAAGCACTCTTCATGCCTCCAGCCCTTTTTGCTCTTATTATTTTGAAATTGCCCAGGCCAGCCTAGACCATGATTTTCCTATTTTATATTTCCTACCATAGCTAGAATGATAGATGTGTTCCACCTCTCTTAGCCTTTTTCTGTTGAGATGAAGTCTTGCAAAGTTTTTTGCCTGGACTAACCTGGAACTATAATCTTAACCTATTTCAGCCTCCTGTGTAGCTTGGGATGACAGGCTTGTGCCACTGTGCTCAGCTATTGGTTGAGGTGGGTCTCATGAACCTCTTCTCTGGGCTGGTTGCAAACCACAATCCTCCCAAGCAGTGGTTCTTCTCTTTTTTAGATTATTTTTGAGAATTTAGAGGACTATGAAAAATTTAGCTGTGAATTATATATACACATACAAATAATGTGTGCATATATTGTACCAGGAAGAAATGAAAAGTGGTAAATGTGGTCCCATCACATAAATAGGAATCTTCTTTGTTCCTGGAAACATTCCTTTTTATTTTTTTCCTTCTATGTAGATACGTCGTCATGAAATACACAAGTCGAAGAACAGAGCATTAGTACATTGGGAACTTCAAGAAAAAGCTTTGAAGAGAAAATGGAAGAAGCAGAAACCAGAAACTTTGAGTCTTGAGAAAGGAAGATTATCTATCATGAAGGAGGTAATGCTAAAATGCATTTTCTGTAGATGTATAAGAGATGGTAGAGTGGGTCAAGTGGTAGAGTGCTTGCCTAGATGTATAAGAAAAGAGATAAATTGGGTTCTTTCTTTTTCCCTCTATTTGATTTACATTAGAGAGACTCTAGTAGTTACTGCATTTTTGTACAGTGGTCTACCTGTGAACTTATAAAAGGCAGCAGAATTATGATTAGAGTCTAGTTTGGTGGCTTAAATTTTCACTCCTAGCCTTGTAACCTTAATTTGTTCACTTGACTTTTCAGCTTGAATTTTCTCATATTTAAAATGCCTGGTTGTATTCTTGTGAGATTTTATTTACAGAATACTTACAAAGTGATCATCACAGTTCTGTTATAATTATTTTTTTATGAATTCAATAGCAGTGCTATTACTTAGGGAAAATAGAATAGAATAGAATAGAATGTTACATGCCCACCCAACTAGGTAGTAGGCCTTTTAACTTTTGCTTGACCTTTTGCCAGATGTAGGGTATTTGGATAAGTAACCAGATATGTAGGAATAAACAATGTGGGAAATAAGAGGAAAGTAGCAAAATAATCATTTTTTTTTAAGGTTTGAGCTAAAATCATTGTAAGGGAATGTGCTTTGTAGTGTTGTTCTTTGTTCAGGTTAAAGCTTTTGGCCCTTGACTGTCTTAATGACCTTTCTTGGCAACTTTATTTATTTATTTATTCATTTTTTTTCATAACAGCTTTATATCATATTCTGTCTTTTGAGAAATTTCATTAGGGTTTCTAGTGAAGTAAGAAAGTATCACTCTTAAGCATCATCAGGAAGAATTGTATCACCCAAATAAATGTGTTCATGAGTTTGAGAAAAGAGCAATGGGCAGAGAGAGAAAGCTTTAAGTCACATACATTTCAATGTTATGTGCTTATTTCCATGGAAATGTTGTGGGCTGGTGTTGAGGGTTCTTGCCTTCATGGGCCAAAGAATTGGCTCGTGAGGCAGCTGATTGACTCATGGGACACAAGGTTGGCATACAGAGTAGGATTTATTAGAGAAAGAAAAGGCTGCAGCTAGAGCAGTGCAGCGGAGACCAGAAAACTGGTGGCTTCCTGCTCAGGTAAAGGCTGGGGTTTTTATGGACACTTTAACTCTGGGTTAGGGTAAGGGTCAGGTGGGTTCTTATCATTGGCCGTGGATTCGTGTGTGGGCTCTCTTTGTGAGCTGTCTGATTGCCCCTTATGGGTAGAAATAACCTTAAGAGCATTCTGTTTATCAGCCCCATGGCAGATTTATGAGACCATGTGACTCCTCTTCAGGGTGCAGGGCTCATAGTGCTCTCCATGGGGGATGAGATGCTCACTCATCTGTCCTTTAGGTCCCTGGACCCAACAGAAAGGTCTAAAACCAGAGGTCTGACCTGGGGAAAAGGCAGTCCCCTTGGAGGGCATCAGACTCTGGACTTTTGTTTCCCCTTTCATGGCTCCCGTGCATGTCCTGAATTTCTAATACAAGTAACTGATATGGTAGAAGCAGAGGTTGAAAGAAGAGTGGTGAGAGGATGAGTAAAACTTTCTTTGCCTTCTTTTGGTGGTGCTGCTTCCTCTGGCTCTGCTGTAGTGATTCTTAACCCTGATTGCACATTAGAATTAATTATGCTTGGGAAGCTCCTTTAAAAAAATAACTATGCTCAAAGATTCTGATTTAATTAACCTAGGGTGTGGCACCACATAGGTATTTTTTAGACAGTTTCCTGTGTAATTTTATTCATTTATTTATTTTTTCCTCCTGTATAATATTAGTGTGCTATAAGGCTTGAGAACTTCTGCTTTAAGTGAGATTTAAGTGTTTCCTTTTAACTATATCTTGGAAGTCAGTATTTGGAAATCTACCTTTTCTTTTTCATGGCCAGATATTATATAGATTTACTAGCATTTATCCAATGCTTTATTGGTGGATGCTTATGTTGTGTACTACAGTACAGTTTAAGCTTCTGGGAAGGACCTGCAAAAAGTAACGTAAACAAAGATTTAGTTTTCATGGAGCAGTTCAGAGGTAGGTGGTGGCTGGTCAGAGGAGCCTGCAGTTCTTCACTTCATGGCTTCTAACTAAGAATATTGAATGGCTTTTGCAGCTTCCTTCAGTTGTGTGTAAGCCAACAGAAAGTGACTTTAATATACCATCCAGAAGTTTTGGCATATGTCCCATTGGCTAGAAAATTACTGCATGGCCATTCCTTCCTACAAAGATTGTTGGAAAGTTTAGCTATATAGTTGTCTAAAACTTGGGAGTTGTGCTATAAAAGGGCAAACTGGAAGAAAGAATATTGGTGGCTAAGTAGGAAGGTATACCACCCACAGATTGCTTCTTAAGAATTTATAAAATCTTTACGAAAGCCTCCCTCTCTCTGAGTTGGACTTGGACCCTCTTACCATGGAACAAAATGGCAAGGATGATGAGTTGCCAATAATATTTCTCCAGGGTCTTTGACTGATCCTTGAAAATACAAGATGTGTACCACCACTTAAAAGTTTTAAGTTTATGGTCTTTAAACTATCTAGGATAGTAAATATATACAAATGGGCTTATAGAAATCAGTTTATTTATCAAGAGTGGATTTTATGAGAGGAGTGATAAACCTAGAAAACAAAAGAAGGCTAATAATACTCTGATCTTTGGCCACTCAAACCATCTGTCCTAAGGAACCTGGGCAGATTAGCAGAAAGTAGAAGAGCAATGGCTTGACCTCATTGTAATTAATATCAGGTATCAGTATGGTTAGTAAGATTATTCCTCCCTAATCTTCTTCTGTCATTTTCATGTCTTTATCTTGCTAGGTCAGTGCCCCCCACCTTTTAAAATAGTAAACTTTTAAAAATTGCCATTAGGAAATAAGCTTTGTATAATTTTTCTAGTGTACTGGTAGCTTATACTAATCTATTTGCATTTTATCCTAATTGCATGTCTCACCAGGGATAGAAATTTGGTTTATGGGATAATATAATTTATCCTGTAATAGCATCTCTAGGGTGCCATATAAGCTTTTAGTGTACACACATACTTATGGCACCTCTGTGTTTGAGGAAGTGGTTATACCTCTATTGACACATCAGGAAACTTAAGTTTAAAAAGGTTAGATTTTGCTTAGTATTCTTTGACTAGGCCTAGAACCCCATCATCTGCCCCCAAATGTATCTTTGGCTTTAAAAATTTCAAAGCTTATTCTTTGTGGAAGGAACAAGTTTAGGATTTTATTCTTAACAGCTAAGCTTACTGACCTGCTTGGCCCTAGCAAAAGGGGAAAAAATAAGAATATGACTCATTTTTCTCTTTGTGTCCTAAAAGAATAACTGTATATAATTATTTCCATGATATAGAGAAATTCTTATAAGAATATTTGTTACTAGATGCTTTATTGATTTGAGTCAGAGTTGGAAACTGAACAGTTTCTTAATTTTGAGATTCGTTTCAACATAAGAATGCCATCTGGTGGTAGTAGATAAGAGTTGACTCCCCTTTACTCTTGCCTGTGACCATGTAATAATCAAAGTCCCTATGTTGATAGTGCCTAATCAGAAGCACAACTGTAGTGGTATTTTTTGAATTCCTATCTCTCAACCATAAAAATAATCAACTTGTTTGTAAATACAAAAGCATCACATTTTATATCATGTTTTTTAAGTCTTGGGTTATGACCTGTTAGTGTAGTAGATTGTGAGATCACTTCAGTGGCTGAAACACCTGTGAGTTTATGACTCAAAGATTCTTATCTTTAGTCCATGTTTTTCAAACTGTAGATCATAATTTACTAATGGATTGTGAGGTTATGTTACTGGACTACATCCATTATTTTAAAAATAGAATGGAATAGAGATTAAAAATAAAATATAATACTAGTTCTCATGTGGAAAGGTTAAGTAAAACTTATATATGTGTGTGTGTGTATATATATATATACACACATATATGTATTTTAATTTTATTTATTTATTTTTTTGTGGTACTGGGGCTTGCACTTAGGGCCTATACCTTGAGCCACTCTAGCAGCTCTTTTTTGTGAAGGGCTTTTTCAAGATAGGGTCTCATAAACTGTTTGCCTATTCCTTCGAACACAATCCTCCTGACTTCCTGAGTAGTTAGTATTACAGGCATGAGCCACCGGCACCCGGCTATATTTGTTTTTTCAAATATAGGAAGAAAACTTTATAAGAAGGTAATTTTCTTGTGAGTTCAGCTGTCTTCTGTTAAACCGTACATTGAAGATTGTTTGGTTAATCTTTTTTATTTTTATATTTTTAATTTTTTTATTGTTGCACTGGGGTACATTGTGTTTATATGTATATATTAAATATATATATATATATATATAAACCAGTAATTATTGGAATAGCCCCATCTACTGGTACTTAAGGATATTGTCACTGAAGGATTTTAGAGAGGTGTGGCCTATGGTTATTTTGTATTCTGTGCCTTTGTATGGTCCTTTTCTTTGTGATTTTGAAAAGTAAATATATTTTTGAATAATATTTGTCATTAACACACGTCTAGATTCTTTCTGATCAATACCAGATGCAGGACGTGTTGGAGAAATCTGATCATTTGATGGTTGCAGCAAAAGATCTGTTTGTTGACTTTCCTCGTAGGCGCACAGGTAAATATTAAATTCAAACATAAGTTTGCTTCCTTATTAACCCACAGTTAACTATTTGGAAGAATTTTTTCAGGTATAATTATTTATATTATAAGTATTCTAGGGTGATAGTATACAAGGGTTGTTAAAGGTATTATTTATTTGCTCTTTAAGAATGTATTATAAGTTATTCAGCTAAAGAAAGATAAATTATAATTATTAAAATATTGTATAATGTATAGGATTTATTACTTTTAAAATGTGACTTAATTTTCAGCTTATTAGTATTGTTACCATATAATTAAAATATTTATGTTTATATATAATTTGAGTATGTAATTCAAAACCTAAAGCAACTTCAGTTTCTTGCCAAACTTTGCTCTTTGTCGGATACACAACATTCATTTCAATGTGTATAAATCAGTTATTTATCTTAATCTCTTAAAAAAGATTCATTTTTAGTATAAAGTTTGAAATCTGGTTCAGATATTTATTAGTGTTGATTCTGGGATTGTTGCTTAACATCTCTGAGTTTCAGTTTATTGATCTGTAAAATAATAATAGCACCTATCTTGTAGAATTTTTTGAGTGTAAAAAATGAGCATGTGTATATATATATATATATACATGTATATACCACATATGTATATATATGTGTGTGTATGTATATGTATGTGATATGTATGTATACATATGTCAGCATTTAGAATTGGCTGGTGTATATTTAGTAAGCACTATGTAAATGTGTATTGCTGTTGTTATTATTATCATTTGAGATTGCCTTATAATGATTGAAACCTAGGGTAGTATAGAATTTGTGAAGTCAGTTTAATTAAATGAAACAACATTAACAGGACTTATTTTCCTTTTGCAGGGTTTCCAAATGTAACAATGGCTCCTGATTCCTCTCAGGGTTCCATCATGGTAAATCAAGATCCCATCACCCAATCTGTCTTCAATGAGTCTGTCATAGAGCCTCAGGTAATATGCCATACTCATTATGCTATGCTGAAATGAAATTTAAGTTGTTGTAGACATTGTGGTAAATATTCTAAAAGCTAAATCTTAACAATTGCTAGTTATGGTTGCTAGATTTGTTCTTATTCCAAGCATATTGTACTTTTATGTAACATTTGTACTCAGCAAGATAGAAGACTGGATAGTAAAAGCCACCATTCACTGAGTGCTTATCTAGGAGATAGGTACTGTTGTTATCCCTGTTTAATAGATAAAGAGACTGAGGGTCAGACAAACCAAATGACTTGTCAGTGATCACATAGTTTGCATAAGAGGTGGAATCCTAATGTAGGCCACGAGGCTTCACAAGACTGTCACCATCTGCTATCGTAGAAGCAGCAGGGAGGCTTTCCACCGGGATTCAGGTGGGTGTGTGTTCTGCTATTGACTAGCAGTTTGATCTTGAGATGATTTCTTAAGATATCTGAGTTTGCTCAAAGTACTTTTTGTTTCTTTGGTTTTTATTAAATGATGGCAGTTGTATGGATCAGCTACAGTAGGTTAAAGTGCCCTAGCATAATACCAGGAACATAACTCTTCATTAAATGTTAGTCACTTTTGATGTATTAGTATGTTTAAAAGGTAGCTGTCCAAAATACTTGGAATTTATGGGAAAATGATACTACAGTTATAAAATATTAATTAGCTATATTCTAACCTAATTCAAACTCTTAGTAAGAATATTTAGAATTTTTAAATAGTAAACATTTTTTTAAAGCCTATGAAGAATTTAATACTAAAATAACTTCTTAGGAATGACGAGGACTTAGTACCTGTTTAATGAAATTTCCTAAATTACTTATACCTTCCATGAAAAAAAGGGAGAATCTTCAATTATATGTATGAACCTATTGCACTGCAGGTTCAGAATCATAATTATATAGTTTTCTACTTAAAGGCAATTAAATAGAGTGTTATGCATATTTAAAATAGCCAACCAATTAGCTATAACTCTAGGTAAAACAATTTATGTTTTGACAGTTGTTGAAAAGTTAACTTTCAGATAGTCAGAAATTTAATTATCCTAGACTATCTTGCTGTTATTTTATGTTCAACTGAAGCTTTTACATTTATTTAAATAAATCATTTAGTATAGTTCTCTGTTTCTTTGGCAGTCATGCTTTCAGTCATTTGGAGTCTGGAAAGAAGTGCACATGTTATTTCAGCAACATGAAATAAAGCAGTTAGATTTCATTCTGTTGAAGAGAATAGTTTATCATTATACTTGAGCCTATTAAGTTCATAGTAGAATTTCAAATTAATGATACAAATACAACTAATTTTCTTAGCCATTTTAGTTCTTCAATATACAGTGATAACAGAATAAAAACAGTGAGGTAAACTTCTCAGTGTACACTAGAGCTAGCACGGAAAAATGACAGTGAGGGAGGAAAGAGAAGATATTTTACTAGATAAGCAGAGGACCACTGTACATAAGAAAAGAAACTGGTATCACTATAGAGGACCTTGAGTCACCAAGAAAAGATGAAATTGTAACTGCCTAGGTTCTCTGGATCCTACTTTCCATCTATAATAGGAATGAGTGAGACTAAGTTTGCTCACTTATTCATCAGGCCTTGCACTAGTTGTTGGAATACATGGATGAAAAAAGACACATCTCCATCATTAGTTTTGGGAAGTTGCAAGATCTGAGGTTAGAGAGGTAAACATGAGCTAAGTCATGAAGGGCAAGGGACCCAGAAAGTAAGAGTTGGGCCACTAAAGGATTTAAAGCAGAATAGAATCATGATGAGATTAACTGTGTGTGGAGAGAGGCAAGATTATAGAGAGAGTCTGGTTTTAGTTTATCTGCTATCAATAATACAGTACCACACACTGAGTTAGTTTTAACTAGAAGAGGTTTATTTTGTCTCACAGTCAAGGTCAAGAGGCCATCTGTGGTGATAACCTTCTTGCTGACAGAGCCCTGAGGAGACATAGGGCATCACATGGTGAAAGAGAGGGCACATGTGAGAGACCTAGCCAAACTGGCTTTTAATAGTAGATCCTCTCTTTTTTTTTTTTTTGAAAGGAGCCCAGATGGATAGGGATCCAGGAGAATTGTATTTTTATTTTTTGGTGGGACTGGGGTTTGAACCCAGGGTTTTATGCATGCTAGGTAGGCACTCTACCTAGCTGGCACTCTACCTGGGTTTGAACCCAGGGTTTTATGCATGGCTAGGTAGGAGCCATGCCTCCAGCATAGATCCTCTCTTGAGATAACCTATTAACTTATTTATCCATTAATTGCAAAGATGGATTAATCCATTCATGAGGGCAGAAACTTAATTCCTTCTTAAATGTTCACCAGTTCTACCACTTAATGTCTCATAATGGGTTTTGGAGGGGACAAACCATATTTAAATTATACTTAGTCTACCTAGGACACTTAGGTTAGAATCTTAGTGAGAACGTGGTAAAGGCTTTGACCCAAAGCACTGGCAGTACGGAATAATATAATGGATGGGGATACATTTAAGAGAAGTTAAAAGGGAGATAGACTTGATAAGATTGGGTGGCTGAGTGGACATGATGGGTGAGAAATAAAGGTAATTTCTGTTTACGGGCTTCTGAGCAACTGAATAGATGGTGGCTCTGTTCATGTCCTTCGGTAATATTGGCAGGAAGAAAGTTTATGGAAGAATTGTGGGAGAGGCTTAGGAAGATACCAGTTTAGGGATGTCTTTTAGGCAGTTGACTATACATGTTTAGGGCTCAAGACAGATCTGGGTGAAGATAGAGATTTCAAAAGGAACAGGATTTGGCTTAGATAAAATCATTCAGAAAGTAAATCTGATGAGAGGAGAAAAGATCCAAATAGAAAACCTTGAGTCCCATTGGATATAAAGGTAGTGTAGATAAAAGAAAACCAGTAAAGGAGATTGGAAAGGAATAGCCAGAAGAAGAGAAGAAAATCCAAGAGAATAGGATATTATTTATGGAAGTTAAAAGGATGAGTGTTTATCAAGAAGATTTTAAAGGAAAGAAATGAGTGATCATTTAGGTCTAATGAGTTGGAGAAGTAAAGACAGGCAAAGACAGAAATATCCATTTGATATCGGAATAAATGTGTTGCTATTGATCTTGTAGAGAGCATTTTGAGTGGAGTAGTTGGATAGAAGGAAAACTGCAAAGCATAGATGAATGAGAAGTGAGGAACAACTCAAGAAATTTGGTGATGACAGCAGATAGTAGTAGCTTAAGGTAGGCATAGTGTTAGAGTAAGATGGGGAAGGCTTGCTCATGATTAAATATAGCTGAAGTCAAAAGAGGGAGAAAAATTGAATATGCTGGAGAGAAAGGATGATTGATAGTGTACAGGGAGTTGAGAAGGTTTGGGTTCTAGAACACATGGAGGGTTACTTTCGGGGAAGTACATGGAGGGTTAGTCTCTTCTGTAATGACAAAAAGAAAGTGTATACGTAATTAACTTTTGTTGCTATTTTTATTGTTGTGTTGAGATAGGCTCTTAATGAAGTAGATGAAGAAGAAGAAGAAGAAGGAGGAGGCAAAACTGTTAATAGCCAATCAGAAGAAAGTGAGACTGAACCAGATAATTCTCTAAACTCTCAGATTAACAATAATACAGACAAGTATGTATGTATGGCATAAATATCTACAGTTCTTACCTTTTTCCAAGGCTATTTAAAATGTTTGCTTATTGCATCACCTTTTTTTATTAATTGGGATTATCTGTTAAAACATTTTTTATTTAGATGTAATTTCCAAAAAGGTGTAAGAATAGTATAAAAAGCTTCTATATAGTCTCCACTCAATTTTACCAATTGTTAACATTTCCCATGTTTGTTTTTATCAGTTACGCACACATACGTACATACACACACATACACACACTTTTTCTTTTTTTTGTGGCAGCATTGGGGTTTGAACTCAGGGCTTCATGCTTGCTAGACAGGTGCTCTTACTGCTTGAGCCACTCTGCCAGCCCTCACACACAATTTTTAAAGAATTGGAAGTAAGATCCATACTTCATGTTTCTTTATCCCTAAATACTTGAATGTGTATTTCCTAAAACCAAGAGCATATGTTTACACAACCATAGTATGATTACCACAATCAGGAAGTTGCATGATTCCATAATTGATGATGAGTCCTCCTCAGTGCATCATATCAAGAGACAGAGATGGCATTGGTTCTGTTAATTCATTATTTGATTAAAGTCATATCTACTAGGTCCCTTCAATGGTTTCTAATCTGTTTTTTTTTCCATTTACTTTTGACATTTATTCTTTGCAGATTTGGTCAATGGGAAATTCTTCAAGTCATTCTTGTGTCATTTTTTACATATCATTTTTTCCCCTTTATATAATTTGTGGCACAACATGACTATTACACTTTCCCAGTCCTTGCCTTGGAATCGGCCATTTCTTTGAGAAGCCCTGGTTCATTTTATTGAAGAAAGGTGTTTACAAACTGAGATTTAAGTATTAGAGGTATTTTTATTGTGCCTGGCAGTCCTTGCTTTTAGGCCAGAGTTCAAATCTCAGCAGATACATACACATGCTTACATGTGCGTAAGTAGCTGTAGTCATATATATATATGCATGCCCATATTCATACTAATATCTATTTTCTATTTAGTTATAAGTTATGAGTTTACACTGATAACCTCCAAAGAATTTATCACTATGGAGCTTTTCTTATCCTTCTCCCATTCCATACTTAGAGCCCTTTTTAACACTTAGAAGTGTGTCTTCAAATATTACACAATATAGTAACTCATTCAATGCTGCAATACATAGGAAGTAGTTTTGAAATTGTTGCTCTCGTGCTATCACAGAAATAAACCTACCAAGTAGAATTCAAGATTGAAGATTTTTTTAAAGGTTATTCTGTTCATTTGAAATATAATCAGATTCATTTTTTCTGTTTGTATTTAATGTTAGATTTTTCTGCTTTAATAAAACTATGCAAAAAAACTATTTTCAGATATTGGCACCCATCCACTATCCCTTATAGTCATTTCCCGTTCATTCTCACCTGAGTAGGTAACCAATTTCATTAGTTTTGGTTTATTCTTTCTGTGCTTATTTTTATAAATATAAGCAAATACATATACTTATTTTCTATTCTTTATTATGTAGAAGATAGCATACTGTAATTTGCCTTTATTACCTAATATTACCTGGAAACCACCTTATAGCCATTTGTAAGTTTATAGGGATGTCTTCCTTTTTTTTTTAAACAGAAAAATGAAACAGCTACATAGATTTAAATTGTGTGAATGTGCTATAATTATTTAACTACTTGTATATATGGCCAAAAATTTTATTTTTGGTGGTACTGGGGTTTGAACTCAGGGCCTCACGATTGCTAGGCAGGTGCTCTACCACTTGAGCCACTCCACCAGCCCTAGGTTATTTCTAATACTTTATAATTACAAAAATACTGCGGTGAATTACCTTGTACATATGTATTTTTGGATTATTGGAGGTTCATATTTTTATTTTTTGGCAGCACTGGAGTTTGAACTCAGGGCCTCATGCTTGCAGGCAGGTGCTCTACCACTTGAGCCACTCCACCAGCTATTGGAAGTTCATATTTAGGGAAAATTGTTAGAATTGGGATTTGAGGGTTAAAAGTTAAATGCTGTGTAATTTTATTTTTAAAAATTGCGAAGTTTTGCTTTAGGAAAATTATAATATTCTCACTGGCAAATGTAAGTGTTTGGCCAATAGATTGTGTTTTAAAGTTTTTCATTTTTATTATTTCATAGATGAAAAAAAATGGTATCTTGGTGTAACTTTACTTCCCATGTCTTTTATGAATTAAATTGAGTTTAAAGAATCTATTTAAGAGCTTTGCAGTGAATTCTTCTCTGTTCATGCTTTCTGTCCATTTTCCAAGAATTTAGTATTGCTTTTTCTTAGTTTGTAAATGGTTGTTACATATTATGGATATTTGCTTTTGACATTATGTAATCTTATATTTTTTCCTAGTTTGCTGTCTTTTAAATTTATGATGGCATTTTTTTTTAACCAGCCAAAATATATTATACTGTTTTTGAGGCAGAGTCTTATTGTATAGCCTAAGCTGGCCTAGAACTCATGATTCTCTTGCCTTTGCCCTCTGAGTGCTGGGATATAGTGTTTCTTGCTTCTTGATAGCGTTTTTTTAAATTTAGTTTTCATAGTTAGTTTTACATATTTTTTTCCATATGAACGTTAGTATCAACTTATTTAAGGCCATAAAAAAATCTTACGGGTGTTTTTTGTTTAGACATAATAGTAAATTATTGAGAACTATCATCCTTTTTTGTGTGTGTTTTATTTTTTAATTCATAATTAATAATATGAAAGCTGGAAGAATGTCTCAAGTTGTAGAGCGCCTGCCTACCTAGCAAGTGTGAGGTCCTGAGTTCAAACCCCAGTACCACCAAAAAAAAATTAATAATATGAATTTTTTCGTTTTTTATTGCTGTGCTGGGGGTATATTGTAGCATTTATAAAAGTTCTTATATCAAATATATCCTACTTGAACTCTTCCCCTCCATCATTCTCCCTTATCCCCCTTTCCCCCATTCCTGGAATAGTTTCAACAGGTCTCATTTTTCCATTTACATGTATGTATACACAGCATTTGTACTATATTCACCCTCCTTGCCTCCTTCTCTACCTCATCCCCCTCAACACTGGTACCAACTCCTCAGACAGGGCCTGTTCTGCCCTCCTGTTCTCCGATTTTGTAAAAGGAAAAAAAAAAAAAAAAGACATTTTTGTTGGTTTAAGATAGCTACACAGGAAGTTTCCTTGTGCCGTTTCCATACATATAAAATAACATGAATATGTTCGTCTCCTCTGTCTTCATGATGTTGAATTTTACTATCAGATATTTTAGTTTTCCATTTGTCAAAAGTGGACCTTTTCGGTTTTGAGGAGTGTTTTAATGTTTTGCTGGTTGATTTTGCTTATTTCTTGTTAAGCTTGTTCTTAACTCTGGTTTTTGTCATTTTTAAAATGGGCTGTTCTCTTCCACTATTTGTTGCAATTCATTACCATTTGTATTTAGGAAGGCTATTGATTTGTTTCCTTTTCAATATTCTACTTTATTGAATCTTGATTGAGTTAGCTTTAGCATTGGTTTGTAGGTTTACTATCATTTGTTTGCAAGTTTATATAGTTGTTTTCTAAGTCTTACATATCAAAGTTGTTTCTTTTGTGTTAGTTACAGGATAATGTTAAATAATAGTGAAAACAGTGGGCATCCTTGTTTTGTTTTTAATCTTAGGAAAATGTTTCTATTTTTCCTCTTAAGTAATGTGTTGGTTTTGGTATTTAGGTCTTTTTTCTTTTTCTAAGGAAATATCTGTCAGTTCCAGTTTTATTTAGTGTTTTTATCAGTCATGAGTGTTGAATTTTGTCAGACTTTTCAATATCTATAGAGATAATGAGTTTACTGCTTAGATCTATTAATATGGTACTTCATTTTATATATTTAGTAGTATTAAAACATCTTTGCATTCCTGCAGTATATTTTATATGGCCATAGTGTATAATTGGAAGTTAACCTTTTATTTAGTGTTCTTGCATCATTTCGTAAATGATATTTTGTATAATTTTTGTGTCTTTGGTCTTTATGACATTGAGGTAACAGTATGATACTTGATTCCATAATAAACACATAGACGCTTTCTCTAATTTTATAAGGGCTAAAACAGTTTATGTTCTTTGAAAGCTAACAGATTTCTCCTGTGAGGCTGTTTGTACTTTTGTAGGAAACTGCCATAACTGTACTTCCTTTATGGAGATTGAATTATTTAAGCTTTCTGTTTGTACTCAAGCCAGTTTTTTAAATTACATTTTCTTAGGAAACTTTCCATTTTATCTAGGTTAATCAATACATTTCCATAAAAATGTGCTAATATCTCAGTATTTCTAAAATATTTCTTCTGCTTCAGTGCTTGTGTACCCCCTTCTCCTCCATCATTTCTTTTAGTCTTCCTCTCCTTAAAATAAGATTAGCTAGTGGTTTGTTTATTCTGTTAGCTTTCCAAAGAACCAGGACTTTGATTTATTAATTAGAGCTTCTTGTTTTCATTTCTTCCTCATCAATTTTTGCTTTTATCTTTATTTCCTTCCTTGTGTTTTCTTTTTGTTTATGTTGCTTTTTAGCTTTTTAAGTTGGTAGTTTAATGCATTTTATTTAAATTCTTTCATACTTAATGGGTAAAAATGAATTATTTAAAGCTCCAAATTTTCCTCTAATAACTATTTCAAATGCATACCATACATTCTGGTAGTGTTTTGTTGTTTAGTTCAGTTTATATTTCCCCTTTTACCTGAGTTATCTCATAAAAGATTTTAAAAATCAATTTCAGACCCTCTTTGTCTGTTTTATTACATTACATTCACAGTATGTAGTAGTATTTCTACATGTGGAACTTAATGCTGTTTTCTTTGTGACCTAATAATATGATCACATTTTTGTGAGTGTTCCATGTATGAGCTTGAAAAGAAGGTGTAACCCTATTAACAAGGTAGAGTTCTATATGTGTATCTGTAAGAACTATCTCATTGATTATGTTACATACATGTGTCTGATTTTTGCCACTATCTTTGTACTGAGAGTGATATATTAAAGTCTCCTACTATTAGTGCATTTTGTTTTTCTTTGCATTTCTTGTTTAAGTGTAATTAATTAAAGTTAAATGCCTCCTCTCTTATAAAAAAAAGTGATTGCTATGGGTTTTGGTACATGTATATCCATGAATGTTATGTCTTCATTTTGATTAGTGACTTTTAGCATCATAAAATATCCTTTGCCACATGTAATGCCTTTTGGCTTCAGTTCTAAAAGAAGAAAGTGGTCATCAGTTATAATTCCATTAGGCTTCAAGTCTGACACCCTCTGGGTCCATGGCACTGCTGTGTTTCTGTGGCTCTGGCCTTGGTGTCTGTGCCTGTGCATCTGGCTTCTACACCTGTAGCTCTGGCCTTGGGAGTCATTTTACTTTTTTCTGAAGGATAATCCATGTTTGCAACTGTAGTAGTTTTATCAGCCTGTATCTTGTCTGTAGAACTTTGGGAGTCTGGTACCAATCCTTCCCTTTGTGCTGTTCCTGTCTCTTTCAATCTAAGCTGGCAATATTTCTGGTGATAACACATCTCAAAAAAATCTTTCAGATCTCTTGTGTATGTCATGGGGATTCACTCTAATAGGAAAGAGGGCCTCCATAGACCTTTCCTTTTTTCTTGTTGGCTTCTGCTGAGATCATTGGGGAGATCCGTAAATCATATCCTTTCTCCCTTTAGGCTAGCTGTACTCTTGCCCTTCTCTCCAGAGTATACTTTCCTAATGGTAATTCCACTAATTTGAAAATTTTCTTCAATCTGAGTAGGTTGAAAATTTTTCAAAATATCAAGACCTACTTCTTCTTCTTCTTCTTTTTTTTTTTTCCAGTGCTTAGGCTAGAACTCAGGGATCCCATATGCTAGGAAGGCACTCTATCACTGAGCTACATCCCCATCCCTGCATTCTTTTTGTTCAGTAGTTCTTCCTCTTGCATTTTATACTAACATCCAGAAGGAAATAGTTTGCATCTTCAGCACTTTGCTTTGAAATCTCCGCAGCTAAATTTCTAAATTCATTCATTTCCATACAACTCAGCTAAGATTTTTGCCACCATCAAGGATTACCTTGCTTTTAGTTTCTGTTGACACATTCCTCATTTTCTTCTGGACTCTGACCAGATGGTCTTTTTAACATATTTCTACCAGTATTCTATGTGTGATAATATGTGTATTCTCTAAGCCAGTATAGTCTTTATCAAGTATGCTCCTCACTGAGCCCTCACTGGAAGAATTTTTGACATCTGTATTTATGCCAACAGTGTTGGAGCAATGTAGGCTTCTTTTGTTATTCACCTAAAAATTCTTCCAGCCTTTACTCATTCAGTTTTCACATTTTTAGGTACTTATTACACTAACATCCCATCCAGGTCCAGAATTTTTTGAGGATGCTGTAACAAATTAACAAAAACTTGGTGGTTTAAAACAATAGAACATTATTCTGTCACAGTTTTGGAAGTTAGAAATCTGAAATAAGTTTCATTAGACTGGAATCAACTGTTTGGTAGGGCCATGTTCCCTCTGGAGGGCTCCAAGGAAGAATCTGTTCCTTGCCTTTTCCATCTTTAGTGGCTGTCAGCATTCCTTGACTTTTGGCTACATTGCTCCAATCTCTGCCTCCATCTTCACATTACCTTCTCATTGTGTGTCAGATTTCCCTCTGCCTCCCTCTCACAAGGATGCACAGAATTTGCATTTACAGCCAACCCTGATAGTCTAGGATCATGATTCTTAAACATATGTGCAAAGTCAGGTAAGATAACACTCAGAAGTTCTAGAGATTGGGTTGTGGGTGTCTTTTGGCAGGCCATTTTTTAGTCTACCATGATGATACTGCTTTATTTTTGTTGTTACTGCTTTATGTGACCTTACTCTTAAAGGTATAAGAATTAGAGATAATAATGGAAGTGTCAGACTCATTAGGATTCATTCTCCCAACTTGTTCAGAAATCTTATTAGAACACTCTTGGGATTTTTCCTGAAGGTTTTACTTAAAGCTAATGCTGTATTACATAGAGGTCTTTTTGATGCCTTGGTAATAGTCCCCTTTGAAAGGTATATCACGAACCTTTTGCTAAATATACTTTTTAGCAAATAGTGTTCTGATGTGCCGCCCACAGTTTGATTCAAAGCAACTCCTCTAGGTTGAGATTTGTGGAGCCATTAAATAAGATTCCCTACTTCCTCTTTATTTTTTGTAACATCTTTATTGATTAATAGAATACACCCCACTCCTTTGAAATATAATACTTGATGTTGTTTTTGGTATATTCAGGTATATTAGGATGTTTTCATTACCCAAGAAAGACACCCCATATCCTTTAGCTGTCAAATCGTTTCCTCTCAAACCCTTCAGCCCTGGCTAACCATTAAGGTACCTTCTGTATAGAGTTGCCTATTTAGACATTTCATGTTTATGCTGTCTTTTGGGTCTGTTTTCTTTCATTTAGCGTAATATTTTTAAGGTTCATCCATATTGTAGCATATATCAATGGTTCATTCCTTTCTGCGGCTGAATAATATTTCATTGTATGGCTATATCACATTTTACTCATTCATTCATTACCTGTTAGACATTTGAGTTGTTTCTACTTTTTGGCTCCCTGCCTCTCTTAAGTATTAATTCAAGTGAGAAATAGATGAATGAACCACATACTTGAAGATTAAAATATCAGCTTTGGGGACTGGGGGTATAGGTCAGAAGTAGAGCGCTTATCTAGCATGTGTGGGTTTGGTCCCCAGCATCACATACACACAAAAAAATATATCAGCTTTGTGAGTGATAAAGATATTTGAATGCTGAAGATACTATAGCATAAGGCTTAGATCTGTAATTAAAAGGCTTAAAAATACTAAGCCCCAAAATGCAGCTCTTCTCACTCCTTCTGCTCCTACCTGATACATAGGGGAGCAATCTGTTCTAATAAATTTACTTCAATATGAGCAAGGACTGCCCTGTGGACAGGCTCTTGTGGGGGGCAAATCAAAAGGGGCCGAGCCATATATGCATAATTACTTTAGAGAAAGAGAGGGAAGGCTGGAGCTGTACTGCAAAACTATAGAAAGGGCAAATGCTCAGGTACCAGTGTACACAGGAAGTTGGGAGGCACATGGAATGATTCCTTTTAAAACAAAGAAGCACTGTGGCTATCTCCCTGTCATCAGTTAAAGTTAAAAAATATTTTTTCTTTCATTGTAAATTACCAGAATCTCCTTCAAATCAAACATGTAGACGGTTGAATTATTAGAATTATCAATTCTAATACAGCTTATTGTCCCATAATTTATAGGTTTCTCCACCAACTAAAGGAAGAAAATTCTGAGTTAATTAGTAAACTGTGGGCTGATATTCAGCAGAAAATATCCACACAGTCACAAATAATGTCTCCAGAGACTCCATCATCAGGGGAACAAAGAGGTTTGCTTGTTATCCCTTTGCATTATTTCTAGTAGCTTGCTTTATTAGGTTTCTTCTTGAACACAGTAATTTTTAAAGGAATGTTACTTTTGACTTCCTCCTGTAGCCTAATGGACCAAAATACTAATGGGTCTGTGAGTTGAAAGGCTTTTTAAAGAGTTTGTTCACCTAAGATACTTTTTTGTAATGTGCTTGCTTATAGCTGCTCTGAATGCTACTGATGCTGTCAAGAGAGTGCAGGCCAGGCTTCAGCCTGAGGAATCTACTGGGACTCTAGACTCCAGCTATGTCGTGGGGCAAGTGCTGAACTCAAGGAAGCAAAAACAGCTGTTGAATAAAGGTTTAGTCCTTTAGTTTGCAGAGATGAATTATTAAACGTGGTTTGATACAGCTATCTTATGTATTTCTAAAATGTTCCCCCTCCTTTAGGCTCATTCATTTGAATCCAATTAAGTAACAGTTGCTGTTAAGAAATGTAGCTGGGAGCCAGTGGCTCATGCCTATAATCCTAGCTATTCAGGAAACAGAGATGAGGAGCATCAAAGTTCCAAGCCAGCCCCGGGCCAGACCCTGTCTTGAAAAACCCATCACAAAAAAGGGCTGGTGGAGAGGCTCAAGTGATAGAGTACCTCCCTAGCAAGTGTGAGGCCCAGAGCTCAAACTCCATTTCCACCACACACAATAATAATAATAATAATAATAACAATAATGCTTCCCATATAACTCTGAAAAGAAAGTTCTAGTATATTCATTGCAGATTGTATAAACTTTGTTTAAACTTACAGATTTTTGTGGTGTTTTTCTTGGTGGGACCAGGGTTTGAACTCAGGGCTGCATGGTTATAAAGCAGGCACTCTACTGCTTGAGCCTCTCCGCCAGTCCAGTGATGATAACTTCTATAACAACTTTTTGTAAATGGGTGTACAATAAAAGTTTTTTCTAGTCATTTTGTAGTTATTTTTCCTGATTTTGAAATAGAATGCCTTCTGTCATTCTCAGTGAAAAGAAAACCAGATTCATGTGCTCCTTCCAAACAGAAGAAAAATGTGTTATCAGCTAGCACAACCTCTGCAGACTTATCAAGTGGTAATAACTCCAGCCTGGATGTCCTCAAACACATGATCCATGAGGTGGAGCATGAAATGGAAGAATATGAGCGGTGGACAGGACGCGAGGTCAAGGGACCGCAGAGTGGTCAGGGCCTCACAGGCTTCACTTTGTCGCTGGTGAGCTCTCTCTGTCGCCTGGTTCGGTATCTTAAAGAGGTAAGACTATGAGGTTAGTGAGTCTTCTTTTCAGGCAGAAATATGTGTGAGGTTTTCCTCTTTACTTAATTTATTACAACCTCTAAATAAAGCTCAGTTAAAATTGAATAGCTTTGTTTGCAGTACCTCAGTTTTAGATATGTGCAGTAAAAGTTTGTGGTTTTAGACCACCGTTAGTTGATACATAGATAAGAAGTAATTTTGGTGATACTGTGAGCATTGGTAAATTATAATTAGTAAGGTAAATCTGTAAATAAAATTATATGTTGCATAACACTAAGTGTCACTGTTTGCAGTTACAGATCAACTGTGTACTCATTCTGTTGCTTAACTGGCTTGCTTCTCCCACATAATTTCAGCTTGCAGAGTGGCATGGCCTGTAATCTATAGACAATCTCTCTGTAACTGTGACTTTGGTGTGGCTTCATTATCTAAGTGGGAGGTGTCTTAATGCTGTGAAAATAATTTATAAAACAGTCAAGAATTGTATATCCTTATTTATTTTTTTATTTTTATTATTGTATCATTGTTGTGCTGGGGGTATGTTGTTTCTTTGTAAGTAATAATTGGTCCTCAGAATGCCATAGAGTTAGTTAGCTATGCATTTCATCTTTTTATAAAATCCATTTAAATTTATTATGTACTTAAATGTACTAGACAAATATATTAAAAAGTTTAAGAAAATGTTGTTACAAATAGATTCAGTATTCTGATTCAGGTATTTTGATTGCTCTAGAGCTGTTTTCCTTTTTTTGGCAGTATTGGAGTTTGAACTCAGGGCTTCATACTCGCTAGGCAGGTGCTCTGCCACTTCAACTATGCCCCCTAGCCATTTTTGCTTTTAGATATCTTTTGAATGAGTTTTCACATCTTTGCCTGGGCCAGCCTCAGACCGTGTTCCCCCTGTGTGTGCTTCCCATGTAAGTGGGATTATAGGTGTGCTATATTATGCCCAGCTTATTGGTTGAGATGGAGTCTCACTGACTTTTTGTTCAGGCTGGCCTTGAACCATGATCATTCCAATCTTTGCCTCCTAAGGAGCTGGGATTACAGGCATCTACCACTGTATCTGCCTTAACTTGCCTTTTACTGAAAGATAGAAGTGTATTTCTTGTATTTGGAAAGTATTAAAAACTTAGAAATATGTACTCTTTAAGTAATAACTTACTTTACAAAGCTAAACCATATAGTCAATATAGGTTTCTGTAGTTATTTTTAATTATATTTTAACAAACTTAATTTTTGAAATGGTGATATATCATATAACATGAAAGTCAAAGTTACAGAAGGATAAAAAATAAAAAATCGAATTCTTATCCCTAACTTCCATCCAACCTGTTTGCTTCCTCATGGCCTGTCATTATTACTAGATACCAAGAGTCTCTGTCTGGAGATGGTCTATGAATATTCAAATGATATGTATATTCCCCATTTCCTTTTATGAAAAATGCAGTCATTCAATTCTGCATGTTTTTGTTCATTATTTCCTATTTAAACAAGGAAAGAAGCAGGTGCTGTGGCTAACCCCTGGAATCCTTGCTACTCCACTATAACACCAGCTCCATACAATCTTTGCTACTCGGGAGGCTGAGTTTGGGAGGATTGTGATCCCAGGCCAGCCCAGACAAAAAATGGTTTGTGAGACCCCATCTCAACACAACAAGTTGGGCGCAGAGGTTCATGCCTGCTATCCCAGCAACAGAGGGAACATAAAATAGCATAGCAGTCCAGGCCAGCCTGGGCAAAAAAAATGAAACCTTATCTCCAAAATAACCAGAGCTAAAAGGGCTGGAAGTATGGTTCAAACAGTAGAGTGCCTGCTAGCAAGCACGAAGCCCTGAGTTCACACCCATTACCCTACCCCCAAAAAAGAAAAAAGATAAGGCAGCACATAGCACATTTTATTTGGTTAAATATAATAAGCCTTCTAATAAAAATTTTAATTGTCATTACTGTTGTATGTGCTTTGTAATCATCTTCTCTCCCAGCTTTGAGAAGAAACTTTTAGCTTTCACTTTGTGATGCTATTGCTAGAAGATTGTTTATTTATTTACTTACTTATTTATTTTGTAGAGTGAGCTCCAACTACGTAAAGAAGTAGAGACAAGACAGCAGCTAGAACAAGTATTAGGTGACCACCGAGAGCTTATTGATGCTCTGACGGCGGAAATTCTTCTTCTTAGAGAAGAAAATACCACCACCCAGGTATCAGTTGCTATCCTGAACTTTTCCATTCTTAGTTATGTGAAATACCTTTACACGTGGACAGGAGTCCCATGGAATTGCCTTTATTTCTGTGCTAATGTGCTTACTTATCAGCATCAACGTCATTGGTGGGTATACTGAACATTTATGGCACTGACAGTACTATGGTAAGTGGAAACTTAGACTTTAAATAGCATACAGCGTAAGTCTGCCACCTTTAAGAAATATGCTATGTAGTGTGAGAGGCAGGATATTCGCTTAAATAACACCAATACTATACCAGTCAATTCAAAGTATGAGAGAGTGTTATAGATGGGGATTGAACCCAGGACCTTGCGAATGCTAGGCAAGTACTTTCCTTCTGTGCAACATCATCAGCCCCTAACTGCTCTTTTTCAAAACAAAGACTTAGACAATAGCTCTTCTAAAAAGCTTGCTTTCTTTCTGCATTAAACGTTCTTCCTTTAAATACTTTCAATGTCTCTTTGGATATTGCTATAATTGCGTTTACAAAATTATGTTTCACTTATTGTGTGTCCTTATCACTGAGACTCTGTGCTGCTTGAGTGAATGGTTTATTCATCTTTTCATTTTTATGGGTAATTATTATTTTATTTATCAACCAGAAGAGACTAGAAGAGTTAATAGACAAATTGTGTTTGTGTCAGTGAGCATTAGGTGTAAGACATGTGGTTTTAAAAAATACTGATAATATAGTGTAAGTACCAGGAAGTCAACATTTTAAAACTATGAAATTTTAAAACTAATTTCATAGTTTTAGTATAAGCAGAGTTGTGTTCCAGTTCATTTTGATGTGGAACATTTTTATTATCCCAAAAATCCTATACCCATGTGTGAGGAGTCACTGTATTTTTCCCACTCCTTAGTCTCTGGCAGTCACTAATCTGCTTTCTCTCTCGATGGATTTACCTAATCTGGACATTTCATAGAAATGGAATCATGCAATATGTGGTCTTCTTTTATTCATATGTTTTTAAAGTTCATCCAAGTTGTATCAGTATTTCATTCCTTTATATGACCCAATAATATTCCACTTTATATAACTGCCACATTTTATTTATCCACTCATCAGTTGATGAATATTGGGTTATTTTTACTTTTTGTCTATCATGAATATTACTGCTGTGAACATTCATGTGATTTTTTTGTATGAACATGTTTTCAGTTCTCCTGAGTCGATACAAAGTTTCATACACCAAATCTTTATTGAGCACCTTGTCTGATATGTTGGACTTCACTGTTTCTCTTAAATTTAAAATGTCATCTTGTGCCTTGTGAGTTCCTTCTGGTACTCTGTGTGCCTTAGTATACAGTTTGGGAATAAGGACCAAACACTGAAGCAGGGTGTTATGTGTAGGAGTTGTTAGACTCACTTAGGTGGGATGTGACACTTGGCTTAAAGTAGAAGTGGGAGAGGGTGTGAAAATTTATCAATTTCTTCATATATTCTGAGGGTCAACCAAACCCATTGGATATGGGGTGAAGGAGAGGATGTGGGAGAAAAAGAATCAAGGGTGATTTCAAAGTTGTGGACTTAACAATTAAAAGGATGAAGTTGTAATTTCTGATGTGGGGAAGGCTTCAGGAGAGGTTTGGTTTTGTGTATCTTAAGGTTGAGATGTCTAAAAAAGTCCTAGATGGAGATGTTGAGAGGGGCCACTGGATATTGAGGGCAAAATTTGGGGAAAAAATTGGGCTGGTGATAAAGAAGTGTTTCCATCAAGCAGTACTGTATAGTTAATACTATTTCTAATGTTTAGCCCTTTGTGATTTTTATTAGATGTCTTCATGTCTCAAAGCAGATGTGAAATGTGTATGCTGTATACATGGTTTATACCTAAGGGTAGCAGTTTATCATTAGCAGTCATCGTTGGCTTTTCTTGCTTTGTCTTTGATACAAGGTCTTAGCAATTTATACAACTCTCCATTCTTTTCTTCAACCTGTCATCTTCTCTGCTTCTAAGAACTATTGTGTAACATCAAATAGTTAAGAAAGACCTGCTTTATATGGTTTTTGTCAAACCTGTTGCTTTCAGATGATCTGCTTACATCTGCAGTGGAAAAGATTAAGAACTAAACAAATTCACCTAAAGTTCTGGGCAGTCTATTTAAATTTTAAATGTAAGGATGAAATTCCAAACACATTTAGCTGTATGAATATAAATCAATGGGTGTGGTGTTTTGTAAATAATCATTTAAATAAAAGAAAACTGTATACAGTATTAAAACTTAAATGTACATATGCACATAGACAAATGAGAATTTTTTCAGAGAAATGTAAACTATAGTTATCTCACAATGTATAAAATACAAAATTGTAATCATATTACATATAGGATGCTGTGCTTTTCTTTTTGCCTAAATATTATTTCTTTTACATTATAGTGTTCGTGTTATTAGTTTAATGTCTGCGGAATGTTCTAGTGCATTTCTTCTACCTGATGTTTCTATCTCTTGGGGTAGTGTTTGAGGGTCAGTAAAGGTAACCAACCTATATGAAGAGGTTACCTTGTAAATTGAAAGCCCTATAAAAATGTTAATTTTTATTTTTATAGCGTGATATTTACTAATTAGTAGCTAATCATTTGCTTAACCATTTCTCTATTATGGGACTTTTAGAATTTTTATAATTATGAATAGCATTGTTTTAGAATTTGAATGCAAATCTCAAACTTTTGTAGTATTTTAAATGATACACACACATATCATTGGTACTACTTGCTTTCTAGGTGATGGTGGTGTTTGTTACACTGACAGTGTTCTTTCTTTTCTTCTTTAGGCAAGACTTCAGCAGTACATGGTCACAACAGATGAGCAGCTTATATCACTCGCACAGGCCATTAAGAACTGTCCTGTGATAAATAACTCCAGACAAGAAAGTCAGGCATCAGAAAGGGGAGCTACAAATAGAATAACTGTGGATAATTCAGGTAGGTGTAGTCTTTGTTATCCCAGATTGTCATTAAATTACTTAATGGCTTTAGAGTAGCAACAAACAAACCAAACCCTAAACCACCTAAACTTACATGGAGCTATTGGCTGTTTGTTTGTATACTGTAATATCACTAATACAAATGCTACTACTTTTCCACTTGGTAGTTATTGAGTGCTTTCTCTGTGCCAAGTACTTTTTGATTCTCATAAAAGAATCCTCATAGCTCACATCAGTAATCCTAGGTTCCAGGACAGCCCGGGCAAAAAAGTTTGCAAGACCCCCATCTCAACAGAAAAAAAGCTGGGTATGGTGAGATGCACCTGTCATCCCAGTGATGGTGGGAAGCATAAAACAGGAGGATTGCAGTCAGGTCAGCCTGGGCAAAAAGGCTGGAGTTGTGGCTCAAGTGGTAGAGCACCTGCCTCACAAGTGTGAAACCCTGAGTTCAAACCCCACTACTGCCAAAAAACCCAAAGAAACCCTAAGACTAGTACAAACACTTTAATCATGCCACCTGAGATTCAGGAAGAGAAGAGATGGCATTAGAAAGAAAGAAAAAGAAAAAAACTTAGGTTTTAGAAATTCATAATTTTTGTTTAGCCATGGTGAGGTTTTTGAAGTCCATTCTTCAATATATGTGCCTTCATGTGCTATAGGCCGAATAGAACAGTGTGTGTATAAAATCTTCTATGTATTTAGGGTTATTCTCTTAGGACACACTGAAAAAATGGCAGACTAAAGTTTTAACTTCTCAAGGTACATGCTGCAGCTTTGTGTTCTGTTGAGTTTAGCTATTAATATCTCAGTCAAGGGATATGTCAGTGCTTTAATGTCATCTGAGTTTCTCACCCAAGGATGAAAAAGGATGGGAGTTAGCATATTGTAAGGTTGTTGTTAATTCCTGTTACTACCTGTGGAAAAAGTCAGAAAGATTTATGTAAGTGAAACCAGGTTAGCATCTTCCTGTGTCTCAGCTCTTGTAACTGTTTTAAAATAATATGGATGTGATAATACTGTGATTACTGCATGACTCGTTAAATTACCTTGGTTTGTTATGAGCCTGGTGTTTGGATATCAGTATGTTAATATGGCCTATTTTTGCCATTTTATTATTTGTCGTGACTATTGAAAAGAGAGCAAATAATGAAGAATTCCAGATCACTGGTAGGATTTTTTAGGAGTCTCTAAGTGGCTTTCTCTTTATAGCTTTGTGGTCCTCAGTGCTTTTCTCAAATATAATAACTTTTTCCCAGCACTGACTCCATGGGAACCTGCCTGTGAGTTACTTGCAAAGATGGATACAGCCTAGAATGTTAAGGCTCTGGGGCCATGTGGATTTTCACTCAAATGCATTTAAAAATCAGTACCTGAAATGTGTCCATAGTTCCTTTTTGTTCTTTACATACTAATACCTTAACATCTTCAGAAGTTCCTGTTACGAGTGCTAATGTCTCCGTGCCATTGATGTACAGAGGGGAAGAAGTGGTTGATTTCCCACAGGAAGAGTTGCCTGTTAAACTGACTCAAGCCCCTGACCCTCCAGACAATGTGAGTCTGGCGGGCAATTTTCCAGCACATGTTTATGAGCCAGCTGTGTTGTTAACGCCACCCCGGCAGAAGAGCAACTCAGAATTCTCTCCTTTGCAGGATGGTAAGCAGGATCCTTCTGTGCTTATGTGGTTATATTGTTTATATGTTTCATTTATATAATGCGTTGTGTTCACTATTACCTGAAAAACAGAACTGAAAAAGACATTGCCTAATATCCACAAGGAAGGAATTTTCAGGGTGGTTTTCTTTGTTAGTTTCACACTGCTATGACAAAATACCTCATGAAAACAACTTACAGAAGAAAATTCTTATTTTTTTTCTCAAAGTTTCGCAGGTTTCAGTCCATAGTTGGCTGGCTCCATTGTTTCTGGGCCTTGGTGAGGCAAAGCATCATGGTGAAAGCCGCTCACCTCATAGCAGCTAGGAAGCAGAGGAAAGGTCTGGGGACAAAGGCACAACCCCAGTGATCTACTTCTTCCAACTAGGCCCCACCTTCAACGTTTCCACCACCTCCCAATAATGCCACCATACTATGAACATGTCAATGGATCAATCCATTGATGAAGTCAGAGCCCTCATGATACAATCACCTCTCAGTAGTGCCACCACTTGGGGACCAAGGCTTCAACTCATTAGCCTTTTTTGGGGTATACATCATATCCAAACCATTATAATGGCTTATTTATATGTCTTATACCTAAAGTAAAGCATGGCATTGAATTAATTCCATGATGTATCTGCTCCATTACACCCTGTACGTATTAGACACCATCAAAGGATCTAGCATTCAGATATAGAATAAGGGGAATTCCTATGGTCCAGGAGCATTTGAAGGAACAATAAACAAGAGGAGATTATACTCCAGAGATTAAGGATAGCTTGACCAAGGAAAGATGAGAACTGTAACTTCAGGATTTTGTAAGTCACATATGATCATCATATTGACCTCTTTCTCATCAAAAGTTTTTAGCTCAGTTAGTAGAGGGAGTTTTATTATGGAAATAGTTGGGCAATTAAAAATCACTTTGGACTTACTTTTGCAGTCCACATGTAGGTTTGAATAAAAATATTGAACTTTTTTGTCAGTTCTTAGCTCAGTTGTTCTTAACTTGGGGTTCATGGGTGGGCTTCAGCAGTTATTTTTTCACATGCGCATTCTTCTGGAGCAATACTTTCATTTCATTTTCAAAGAGTTCTTTAGTCAAGAAAAAAAAAACCCAAAAACCTGTGAACTGCTACTATTAGACTTTGTTCCAAAGTTTTAAAAAAATATTATTCAGTCCTGATTTTCCTGAATTTATTTATTATCTATTTTACTGGGATTTGAATTCAGGGCCTGGGTAAAAGTTAGTGAGATGCCACTCATAAACAAGCTGGGAATGGTGATGGTACATACCTGTAGGCCCAGTTGCTTGGGAGGTGGAGGTAGGAGGATTGCAGTCCAAGGCCAGCTGGGGCAAAGTTATTCTGGGATACTGTCTGAAAAACTAAAAGCAAAAAAGGACTTGGGGATATTGCTCAAGTGTAGAGTTATCAGGTCTTTTTTGGGGATAGGTATCAGTGGGAGGACATAAGGTAAGAGTGCCTGAGAGTGAATATGGTGGATATATTTTGTATTTTTATATGAAAACAGAAAAGTGAAACCTGTTGAAATTGTTCTAAGAAGGGAGAGATGAGGGAGAACAATGGAGAGGTAAATCTAACTAATATATATTGTTAGCACACATGTAAGTATCACGTGTGTACATTTATACATTGTCCTCCATGTACAACTACTATATGCTAATAAAAAAATAAAGTCAAATGGTAGAGAGTGACTGGCAAGCATGAGGCCTTGAGTTCAATCACCAGTACTACAAAATCAAAAATTGTTTTGGTATCTTTAATGCAAATTTAGCATTGTCAGATCAGTGTGGTGTGGAGACAGTGCCAGGCTGAGTCAGAAGTGTTCATGGCTTGGCCCACCCATCATTGACTAGCTGTGAGGCATGGGACCTCAATTTCCTCTAGCTTATGAGGATTTTTCTTTATCTTTAAGGTCTCTTCCAGCTTTCCCAAGTCTGTAATTCAGTATTTCCTCTTTAGAGGGCTGGAGAGTGATAGTAATTCTGACTAGGTTAAGGAAAAATGATTTCAGTTCTGGTTTAGAGTTTTGTTCCTTAAACTAATTGTTTAAATGTTTTCCTGTTAATAGGCTATTCTAATGATTCTTCTTAAGTACTGTTAAGTTTTCATTGATGATAGTAAAATATTTTTCCATTTCTTTTCTTGTTGCTATGATATAGTTAGACTAGCCTCCTTTCTTTGCTGTTTCATATTTTAAGGTTTCACGTATGTTGTTCTCTGTGCCATGATGTCCTTTGGTCTACTTTCTGCTACACTTTAAAATTTTCTTTCCTTAGAGAGGCCTTTCCTGGCCATTCTTGGTTTAAATTACATACTTTCACTTTTCTCCTCACCCTTTGGGATTGCCAGATATGAGTTCATATGTGAGTCATATAAACTAAAGTTAACTTGACAGATGCTTCCACAAGAATGTTGAGGAATACTTTGAGAAATGTAAAAGTCTCTGTACTTGATTATTAGTGTGGCTTGCTTGTATATGCCTTGCTGAAAATAATTTAGGTGTTCAGAAGCCAAACAGGCAAATGAAATGATGATAGCACCAATTTATTGGAAGTAATATGTTTATCTTTTTAAAATTCTTGTCTATAGTATTGAGGAGGACAGTTCAAACTCGTCCTGCTCCACAAATTCCTCCAACAGTAGAAATAATTGAGAAAGAACCACATTGGGAAAAGAAGACCTTACCCATTGATGCAGACATTCAGAATTCAAGTGAAGAGAGTCGTCTGTTCACTCAGAGGTGGAGAGTCTCTCACATGGGAGAAGAATTGGAAAACAAAGCTCAGATGCCATTTGTTAACCTCTTGCAGCCCCGCTCCAGTTCCCTTCCAACCACGCAGCAGTTGAGAAGTTCTGCATTCTCACAAGAGCCCCCAGTACTGGGAGATGGGCAACAGCTCAGAACAAATGAGGCACTGATACAAAGAAAGGACATAATGGCACGAATTGCTGAGTTGACACTACAGAATTCAGCCATCAAGGCACATCTAAATAATATTTCAGGGTCAGGTGGAGAACAAGGAGATGGACTGCGGGAGATGAACAAACAGGAAAGTGCCAGTGACATGACTGCTGTAAGTGACCCTTAAGGGCTGACTAGGAATTTAAAAATGGGTATTTTGTTACTCAGAACTTATATTGTTGTGACAAATACCTGAGAGAAAAACTTAAATGAAGGAAAGATTTATTTTGCCTCTCGGTTTTAGTCCATGGTGGGCTGAATCCATTGCTTTGGGCTCAAGGCAAGGCAGAAAATTGTGGCAACATGAGCATGAGGCAGAGGCTGCTGCCTCCTGATGATAAGCAAGGGAGAGAGAGTGTGTGGGAGACAAGATATTTCTTTCCAGGACACACATCCCAGTGACCTACTTCCTTCAACTAGGCCCCATCTCCTAATGTTCATCTTATTATCAATCTATTAATCAATCTATTAATGGATTAATCCATTAATCCCCATGGGGGACATTTTATATTCAAACCATAATAAGCATCTTTGTGGGCTAATCTGATAAACCTTCATTTCATTGTTTTTGGGGAAAAAAGATAGTCTAAGTTCCAACTGGGAGTGTTTATTAGCCCACCTCTTCGTGAAGGTCCCAGTGGTGAGAGATACTTCTTTCACTCCTTCCTGAGCCAGGTTAGATCCTGCAGGGATTGTGATAGGGGATAAAACAGTGTTTTAGTAGTAGAAAGGAGGAGCTGGACTGCTGCATCAATGGTTAGGGGCTTCTGAGGTGGAAGTGTATACAAGAGCTTTAAAAATAATGGATTGAGGGCTTTGGTGCGGAAAGTTGGGCTACCACCTCTGTCATCACTGGCTTATGGTGAGTAAGTGAAATGTGGTACTTGGTACTGGGTCAGAGAAAGTAGTAGTCAGTAGGGACTGGCAGCAGAGCAGCCAGACAGGAGTACTGGGCATAGGGAGCGGCCATTAGTCCAGTAGTGCAGGTGTAAATACCAACTGCCTCAAGTTTAGATTTGAAGATTATTTGAAACTGGGGTTTTGAACTCAGGGCCTTATGCTTGCTAAGCAAGTACTCTTACTGCTTGAGTCATCCAACAGCCCTTTAAATAGAGTCTTATGAACTATTTACCTGGGTCTGGCTTTGGACCAGGATCCTCCTGATCTCTGCCTCTTGAGTAGCTAGGATTACAGGCATGAACCACCAGCGCCTGGCTTAAATTTTGGTTTTAAAAAGGCAATACAGTTAAATGTTGAGCTTTGCATGCTTTTCTGATTAGAACATATGTTAGTCCAGAAAGAATAATCTTAACATTGGGGTCTTCACTACCCTCTTCTGTTTTAATTGGAAATACAAAATGATATTTAATTCATTAATATTAAATATTAAATGTTTCGCTTATCTTTTTTATACTAATAGGCATAAGCTAAAAATTAGTGATTTCTATTTCTACTAGTGATTGTTTTAACTAAATGAAATTATTAGGAATGACATAAGTACATTTCTCTTGGGAATTTCCAGATAATTCCCAATATACTTATGTTATATTCCTGGGATACCTTTTTGTTTTTTTTTAAATGGTCTTATATTTCTTTCAATCACAACTATTCCTGAATCAGATATTTTAGGCTACAAGTGGCCTGGAGAGGCTGATACATGGTCAGAAGGAGTGACAAGTTCTTAGAATCTTTGGTAAATAACTCATGGTGCATGTTTGAGGACTATAATTATAGAAACATCTGCTTTAGATATAGAAGATCCTCGTTTGTAGTCTGTCATCAATAGGTGCATGGCATTTACCTCACTAAGTGACTTTTCTTTACTCATGATGTTTTTTGCAGCTCATGTAAGGCAAACACTAGCAGATAGGAAAGCTTTGTCCCAGACTGTGTGCTTCTGTGGCAAAGAACACATTAGTATCCTTCTATTTTAGCCCTAATTCTTCATTTAAGTGATTTGTAAATAAATGTTTGCTCACTATTCACATGTGTGTATAGCAAATGCTATGAATACTATCTTGCTGCCTCTTAGCAGAAAAGTCAAACTTGTGTGAGGCTTTTCTTCAACAATGACTTTATGTCCTTTTTCCTCCAAAGAGTTCTCCAGTAGCACAATCTGTAGCACCAAGTAGCATGGAGGAACGGATTGCAGAATTGAATCGACAGAGTATAGAGGCTCGCGGAAAACTACTACAATTGATAGAGCAGCAAAAACTCATTGGTTTGAATCTCTCCTCTTCACCTGTGTCACCTGTTCAGTCGCCTTTCAGAGCATGGACTGGTTGGTAACAAATTCATGATTTATAAACTGGAAATATGATTGTTTTCACTTTCTCAATTTTGCAAGTTAATGTTGAGCCAAAGAAATTTCAGATCGTTTATTCCAGCACTTCCAGTTTTACACCAGAAAGAAACAGGCTTGAGTCACAGAATAAGAGACAGAAATAGGATAGAAAGCTGGTTTCTGATTTGTTCTAGCCCATGATGCATCTAGCTAATCTTTCGTGTCTGAGTTCCTAAGTTACCCTACATCTAGATGAGATTCACTTAAGACATATGCTGCACCTAATTGTAAGATACAATTATAGAATCAAAATTATAACTTAGAATTTTACAAGCATCGGAATACAAGTTATTTTTCTGTTAAAACCATTAAAAACATTTTCACTCATTTATTTTTCTATTCTCTACTTATATTTAGAAATATGAAAAGCTAGAGAAGATTTTAAATAATAGAATGGTAACTGAAAACTTTGTTGTCGTAGTATTCCCATTCAAAGAGACTCTAATGAAATGAAGTAGATCTCAGGTTGGATTTTAGCCTGAAATTGAATTTCTACCTTTAAGGGATGTAGCTACATGAAAAGCATAGAGACTGGTTTGGATCCAATATGAGAGACACTTCAAATTGTCAGGAATAGAAAAAGCTCTGTATCAGTGTATTCTCTGAGGTGTCCAAGCTTTGGTGTTTGTCCTGTGCCAGTTGAAATAGGTTCCCTTTTAAGGTATCTCCCAGTAAAAGTTGTCACCTCAGTTAGAAATTATTTAAGTTACAGACCCAGAAAGCAGATTCTTATAAATAATTGGTAAATGATGTGGATCTTTCCTCTGATTTTTTAGGCTTTCTCATTTGAAAGCTTTGTCTTCTGTTCTCGGAAGCCTGGAGGCAAATTCTGATTAGAATGAATAAATTGCCCAAAAATGTATAAACTCTCCCATGTGCCTGCTGTGTATGGTCTTGCATGCTCCTCATTAAATTTGGGGAGCAGGTGACCAACAATTTATGAGATAACATCAGCTAGTGCAGTGAAGAAACAAAGCAAGTCACTTTTGAGAATAAGTTTGTGATTAAATATGACATCTCTGTCTCAATAATTCTGAAATGTTAAAAAAAATGCTCGTATTTCTGTTATCTAGAATGCAACTTATCCTGAGGGTAGACAGGGTTTATGTTACACCTATTTGACAAGAAAGTAAGCATGATTTATGTGAAGTTCCAGCAAGTTGTGAATTTGCATCTGTGTTTTTTTTCAATTCCAGTGGTTCCAGAGTATCTCTAAGATACTCTTTTTGTAAGTAAAATTATTTATTTCATAGGAAGCTCCATGGGCATTAATTATAAAAACAAGAATAAACCAGATGCCATGAAAAAGACCTCTTTTGTTTTCTAGGGTGACTGAGGAATCTTTTTTAAATTTAATCTTTTATAAATTTATAAATCTTTTATACATTTTATAAATTCTTTATCCCTTAAAAACAGGATATCACTGGTTTTAAGCAGTGATTCACAGGAGCCTCTGTGAAACTGCCTGGGGTGGATAAAAAGTCTTTCACTTGTAAATAATTAGTAAATCTTGTTTGATGGATTTGCTACATCTGAACTATTGAAAATGTACATAGTTATACTTCCTTTTAGCCATGTAAGTTCTTTAGCCAGCTTTCCTCTCCTGTAATAGTGTCTTCAATAGCAGTAGTAATTGTAATAGATTGAAAGTGGAGACTTTGTTCCCATTTCCTGTGTGGGGAACAGGAACTGTTTCTCTCTGTTTTTCTCTCCTCACCCCTTGTCTATGCTTTATCCTGTTACACTAAAATAATTCCTTGCTTTAAAAAAAAGATAGAAAGTTTTACTGAATGATTTCAGAAATTTTCCTGTTCCTTTTTATCTCTTGTTTGGAAACATTTTAGGTATGCTGTTTTTGACAAAAATTTCAAATTCTTTAGGGCTAACTCTTAACTTCTGTTTTTTACTTCACTTATGACATATCACTTGTCTGTCTGAAGATTCTGGCTTTCTATGAACTGGCATACTATTGAATTGACACTAAGAACTAAAGTTTCTTGTCTCACAGTTCATTTTTAAAAAAACCTTTCAAGTGTATCTGTGGCCATAGTGATAAAAATGTGGAAAGAATATCCACATTTATGTTCAGTTTCCAATAAGATTGAAATTGAGCACATTTTTAATTTTTATTTTATTAGAAATAAAAAAACTAATAGTTATTTTTATATTTTAGATGGAGGAAAGAGAAACATTGACATATCTATTCCAGGAGCAGAAGCTCCAGACAGCTCAAAATGCAGTAATGTCTCTCCTGTCAGTGGGATAAATACAAGAAGGTAGGGTTACAGTGTGAATAGTTACTTTAAAAATTGAGACTGTGGTATGTATTTTATTTTCTTTGTAAGAAAGGGAAGTGCGTGAATGACAAGGTCAGTCAGACTCATTTATGTAGAGAGAATAAAGTAATTGGAGAAGAGAATAGATGAGGAGTAGGGAATAAGCTTTAACTAAGTAGAAAATGATTTGGCTACTGAAAACAAGAATGGGCCAGCACTCTACAAGAATGTAGAGTACTTATGGGTTACAAAATTAGGAGGTAATGTATCACAAGGGTGGGTAAATTTTTCAGTAGTGTTTTCCTCCTTTATAATAAGTGAAACTGAAGCTCAGAAAGGTTCAGCTGATTTGCCTGGATGAGTGACATGGCTGGTAAGCAGTGACACTAAGAACACACTGGCTGTTCTGTCTCTACTGCACATCCTCTCTGTTGTACTGTGCTGCTTCAGTTCCCAGTACTCTTCCCCACTATTGCACAACCGTTTTTCCTCTTGAATGTCAAACATTTACCTGTATGATTTTGTAATGGCAAATACGCGTCATTATCCATTTGTCACAGTCCACAGAATGTATTACACAAAGAGCAAACCCTGATGTACTGTGTACTTTAGTTAATAATAATGTTCCAATATTGAATCATCAGTTGTAACAATAACAATAGGGGAACTGTATGAGTGTTAGTGGTGGGGGTGAGGGACCACATGGAAATTCTCTGTACTTTCCCCTCAGTCTTTCTGTAAACCCAAATATGTGGTAAAAAATAATTCTGTTAGTTTTAAGTTATAGGGTGGTGAAATTATTACAAATAATTTACATATTTGGACCTAAATCAACTAATTCTTTTTAAACTTGTGCCAGTAGTGAGATTGTTCACATAATTTTTGATGGTTGTTAATAACTTTCTCATTATCTTTTTATTTCTCATAAATAGGTCTTCAGGGGCTACTAGTAATTCTTGTTCTCCATTAAATGCCACCTCAGGAAGTGGGCGATTCACACCTGTTAATACAAGAACAAAGGTACATTATAACAAGAAGTCATGAAATATGTGTAGAAGTCAAAGGGTAAGAGTGAAAGCTGACTGGTTTAGAGATGTACATTTTTAGTTATTATTCCTGTTTCCCAAAGACGATGCAAAATTCTCAAAAGGAAAGAAATCTCTAATTTACCTTTATTAAAAGAAAAAAAACCCAGTATATTTTATTTTCTAGGGTGACTAAGAATTAAGGTAAAATTGAATAGGATTTCAATAGTCCTTAAAGATTGGGGATACTGGTTTCAGGCGGAGCTTCTCAAATACTGTGGCCTTGAATAGTTGCAGGTATACTGAGATATTGGTTCCCCCTGTCCTCGGTGTGTCTGAGATAGCCAGAACCCTGCTTGGTCCAGGTACTTTATCCTGTTGTGCCATATCCAATATGTCTCTGGTTAGACAGTATATAGAACAAAGGATAAATAAATTTCTTACATAGTCTTCATACATGTGCTGCATGCAATAGGACTGTATAGAATCTAAGCACTTCACAGTGTATTCAAAGTTTTTACTTAAGGTGCTTTTATTCTTCTGTGTTGATAATACAGTGTTTTGTCAAAGACAATTGTGAGGCTGTCTTTAAAATTATAAAAATCATTTTTGCAGATTTGAGCCAACAATTCTCTAATAAAAGGGGAATCTTTGTTGTTCTTATTGCTAACTTCAGTAACTAGAACAAAAAGTGGGTATATACAGCCCAAATTCATTGATAGGCTTAGCTACCCCTATTGCCTAGGACTAGAAGATTTGGTCTTTGCTATTTTTTACACTCTTGAAAAGCTTAAAGTTAGATAGTAATTTAATTTCTAGTACCAGTCAAAGACACAGGATTTCTTTGTTGTATATATTTGGTCTAAAAGATCTCTAAGTCTTCAGTGGTCTCATGTTTCTGATTACCTGCTAAATACTTTCTGCATCTTTGTTCAACAGATTGAGAAACAAAATGAAGAAGGCTGGTTTGCTCTTTCTACTCACATGTCATAAGTGAAATTGAAGTTTCATTTTATGGAGTGTTTTTTTCAACAATTCATTCCTGACCATCCACTCCCCCTTTCCTGCTCCTTCTTTACATTCTGCAGATAAAACCACAAAGATCCTGTTAATTAATATTAATGGAATAGAAAAAAAATTTCTTAAATTTTTACCTTTTCAAATAGGTTTCAACAACTAACTAACCTATAATTCCCTGTGAATAAAATTTTGATTGTAGGGAAATTAAAGTTTTTATATTTAATAGCTTAAGTAGTTTAAGGTTTGTTTTACCAATTCATTTTTACCTTTATGGTATTTATTCAGTCTTTCTTATTGTTTAGTGAATTTTAAATGTTCATATGTTCTTTTCCCTGAAGAATTAAGTTGTTTGCATATAAATTACAATAAAATGTCTCTGTGATTAGAATCTGGCTTTCAAAATTTAACATTTGGGGTTTTCCTAGTGGGAAGTTGCTACTGTCTATCACTTTTTCCACCTTTTCCTAGTAGAACGTACAGCTTTAAAGTATAGGCGTGAGACTGGATGTGGTGATACTCAGCTATAATCCCAGCACTGGAGACGGAGGCAGGAGGATTGAGAGTTCAAGCGCAGCTTGGGCTGCACAGAGCGACCCAACCTCAAAAAAACAAATAAATAAAACAAGCGATAATTGATGTTGGAATGTTTATTTAATTTGCTTAAGTAGGTCATATATTTTATGAAATTCTTACTTGTTTTTAAATGTGAAAATATCAGTTATGGTAACATACATTAAATAAACAATGATCATAGAACTCACATCTAAATGCAGCAACATTGATTTAATGGCATATATAGTGCTTAAAATAGAATTAAATATTAAATACTAAAAATTGCTATCTATTTTCCCAGCCCAGACTCTTAAGTAGATTCATTCAGAATAGGTCTTTCAGATTCTGAAATAGGTCTGATTCTCAAATGTTGGTTTCTATTTTCAGCTTGTCCTTTTTTTGGTGATAGTGGTACCTGAACTCAGGGCCCGTGCTTGCTAGGGGGTGCTCTGTCTACCACTTGAGCCCTGCTTTAGTTGTTTTTCAGGTAGAGTCCTGCGTTTTTTGCAGGGGCTGGCCTGGACCTGCCAGCCTCCTGCATATGTCTGAGTAGCTGAGCTAAGGGCCTCACCTTGCTGTTTTAATGGTCTCTGCCCCTGGGGTCCATGATAGGAATTTTTACCTGGAGTGAGGGGGAACGGGGAAGAGCAAAGCATGGAAAATAACAGGGAACTTCGTCAGACCCCACCTTCCCTCCCTCTGCAGTTGTAAATCACTCCTAGAAAGTACCTTGTGCAACTCTGACTCGGCCTCTTCATCCTGACAAAAATAAAATTATTTTCTTCTAGCGCTGCTGTTTTGTTTATGTGAAATCATCTATATTCGTTTGCATTATTGCAGATTCTTCTGTGTTGTGCGTTTTGAAACTTGGTATTTAATAAATTCTCTCCCTATCTGAGCTATATAAACCATTTTAGTGTTCCTTATCAAAATACCAGGTCTCCTGCATGATTTAAGCATGCATTCTTTTAATACGCATTTTCCTTAATGTTTTCCAACTATGAGAGCTCTTTTTTCCCTTTACATTCCTGTAAACCTCAAAAGCCATTTTCTCAACTTGGGGAGCAGTTTTTAAACACCTAACTGCTACTGTGGGGCAAGTATCTTCGAAAGTATTTATTCACAGCTTGCTTGGCAGCACAACATCCTTTGGGTCTAACAAGCTCATCCTAGAAGCCTGGGCGTTTCTGTTTTGTTTCCCCGGGCAAGGGCGGCCGTGTCTACTGGAGAGTTGAAGTTCACGACCAGAGCAAACAGCGGGTTACGCAGCCGCGCATGCACCTCAGCTCCCCAGCTCCGCCCTGAGAGGCGTTGCTGTGGTAACTGCTGTAAACGGAGTCCTCCCGCAGGTGCTGGGATAGAAATAAGCAGCGGCGGTAAGGTTGGGCTCTGGCAGCCTCTTCCTAGGGCTTCCCCCTTAGATCTATTAGCGACCCAGAGAGCAATGGGCCCCACTTGGGCTTCTCTTGGGCTGAACTAGTCCCTGTGTCCTCCCTGCGGTAGTTCAACATTTGAGGCGACCGCTGTAGGCTAGATATTCTGTGGCCAAGTTCCTGTCTACAAGGAGCAGGCAGTCTGGTGGAGCGAAGACAGCGAGGCAGCAGGAGTTGGATCGGGCTAAGCTGGAAGCAGTGAGTGGTGGGAAAGCGCCTGGGCTCTGGGTTCCAGCAAAACCACCTGTTCTCACACTCAGCTGTGACACTTAGCAATCAGGTTTCCTCATCTCTACAAAGGAAGATGGTAATACTTGCCTCATGGGTTTCTTGTTATAAGCTAGATAATGCAAGCCCAGTGCTCAGCACATGCACAGTAAGTAGTGGGTGCAAAATATTTGTCAAATGAATAGGCAAAGATGGTAGCATACAAGTAGTGTTTAATCATGAGTTGTCCAGGCTGCCTACTGACTACAACTGTTGAGAAAAGGAGGCTAAAGAGGGACCAGGGACAGAGAGAGTGAAGTAAGATTAATTACAATAACCTACACTCTTAATGATGAAGGACCTAAATTATGTCATGCCAAGTAATTGCATAAGAACTAAGTTTTATTTGAGTTATGGTAACAAAGAATAGCTAAAGGTTTTAAACAAGAGGAATGCTTCAGAAATACAAGAGGCAGTGTAGAAAATGGATTGGAAAAGGGAGAGATAAGGTATGAAGTTGAGGTAGTAAGACAATGAGGACCGACTCAGTGATGATGGGGGGACTATAAGGGAGGGGATGAATTCAAAAGACTTAATAACTGGGTGCTTGGTAACAGACTGCAAGAGTTACTGTTCTGCTATCTCATTTGTAAAATTATGATAGTAGCACCTGCTTCATAATGTTTTAAGAAATATATGAGATAGTGTGCAGAATTTCATAGAACTGAGTTTAAGATGTGAACATTAAGAATACAAGCTGTTATTCTTTCTACAATTGTACTTCACTATGAAAAATCAAAATTGGGTCTGTTTATGTATTAATAGCTATGAGGTTAACATGATCATGATCAGTCTGTCATGCTGCTGAGATTGTATGTTTGAACTTGTGGTGGTGAGGCTCAGACCCTAGACTCTGGTGAATGGATCAGAGTAATGTCACCTTGTGGAACACTCTGGGTTTCTAGCGAACCTGTTAGCAACATATTCCTCTGTATCATTAATGCTATTTGCTTTTTACTCTTTCTTAGGGTTGACTCAAAACTGGATGGTCTAATGAGTTGGGTAAAAGAATTACCCATAGGCAGAATCAATAAGCCTCTATCTAATGAAAGGACGTTGAAGATAGTTCTTCTAGTAGACTTCCAAACCTAGCTTGTAGAGCTGTATAAGATAGGACATGGTTTAAAACACACAAATAATGTTTAGTCATTTTAGCTGGTTACAAACTGATTTTGATGAGTCAATATATAGGAATCCTGTCTGCCCCTCACCTTCAAGATATAATTTTAGACTCCCTTAAAGGGATACAAAGAGCCAGGTGCCAGAGGCTCATGCCTGTAATCCTAGCTACTTGAAAGGTTGAGATCAGAAAGATAGTGGTTCAGGGCTAGGTGGGACAAATAGTTTGAGACCCCATCTTCAAAATAATCAGAGCAAAATGGATTGGAGGTATAATTCCAATGGGAGAGTAGTTGCTTTGCAAGTGCAAAGCCCTGAGTTCAGAGCCCAGTCCCACCAAAAAGAAAAGGCATACCATGAATGTCCCTAACAGGTGAAGTGATAGTTCTTCTCTTTTGGAAAGTATCCAGATTTCATAAGGAAGATACAAAATTGGGAAGGATATGTAATGCATTGGGAAATAATTTATTGAGTTATGATGGTGAAAAAAGAATATGTCGTTAAGGAAAAATTGAAAGAATTGGGCTGCTTTTGCTGAGAAAGGAGATAATCTGTGGAGAAATGAGAACCACCTACAATTATCTGAATGTCTGTAGCATAGAAAAACTTGTTCTGTGTGTTTCTAGAAGAAAGAACAAGGGCCAAATGGATCCAAGCTGTAGGGAGATACATTTCAGCTTAATTTAAAGTGCACTAAGAACTAGATCACTAACAAAATATGTTCACCCTCTTACCTGCAATATTCAAACTGAAGCTGATTGACCGTCTCTTAAAATATTCCTTCATCTTCAATTATTTAAGAATATATTAATATGTCATCCTCTCAACAACTTTACATATCAAGTGCCTATCTGCCTTGTACCATTCTTAAAGATTTCCTGTATTGACTTGCTAAACACATTGAATTGCTTTCAGACCGAGTTTATGAAATAGATAGTGCATTTGATTTGATTTGCTTGGAGTATAAAATTTCTTACAATATATCATAATTGAATTCATCCCCTCCATCATTCTCCTTTAAAATTTCTTACAATATATCATAATTGAATTCATCCCCTCCATCATTCTCCTTTATCCCCCCCCCCCACCTTACTCCCATTCCTTTCCACAGGTATCTTTTTTCCATTTTTGTGCACGAGAACATAGTATTTCCACCACATTCACCCTACTATACCCCTCTTCTTAATGCTTCCCTTCTTAACTGGTGCCAACCCCCAGACAGGACCTGTTTTACCTTCCCATTCTCCGTTTTTGAAAAAAGACATTTTTATTTATTTAAGATAGCTAGATAGGAGACAGAACAAGTCCTGCCTGGAGGGTTGAGGGGGAGGATGTGGGGAGATGGTGTAGGAGGGTGAATATGGTGCAAATATTGTGTACACGTATATGTAAATGGAAAAATGAGACCTGTTGAAACTATTGCAGGAATGGGGGGAGGGAGGTACAGGAGAATGATAGAGGGATTGAATTCAACTATGATATGTTGTAAGAACTTTTGTAAATGTCATAATGTATCCCCAGCACAACAATTAAGAAAAGATAGCTATGCAGGGAATTTCATTTGTCATGTACATATGTGTTACAACTCAAATTGGTTCATTCTCTCTATTTTTCTCCTTTCTGACTTAGTCCCCTTCTTACAGTGATTTCAACAGGTTTAAAAATTCTATATTCGTTATTGTATAGAAAGTATATCTACCATATTCTACTTCTTAACTTCCTTCTTTTACCCTCCCTCTCCTATTAGTGACCTCCCCTCAGTGTGAACTGTTTTTC